GCCCGGCTGATTTTTTGATTTATTGTAGAGATGAGGTCTCGCTGCCCAGGCAGTTCTCGAACCCGCGGGCTCAGGCAATCCACTCACCTCAGCCTTCCAAAGGCGCGGGATTACAGGCTGAGCCACCGAGCCCGGCACCCGCCAACTTTTTAAGACTCCTGCCCTGACTCCTGGTTGCAAGTCTTTCTAAGGGTATTTTTTTCTTACCCTGCATAGTCTGTTTCCTTTAAGTGCTTTATTCTCTTTTTTCATGTGAGGCTTTCCTCAGATTTGGTTGTTTACATTTTTTTTTTCCCAGTCAGGGTCTCACTCTGTCGCCTAGACTAGAGTGCAGTGGCATGATCATGGTTCACTACAGCCTCGATATCTAAGCTTAGGCAATCCTTCTGCCTCAGCCTCCCGAGTAGCTGGGACTACAAGCACGTGCCAGCATGCCTAGCTAATTTTTTGGGTTTTTTTTGTAGAGACAAGGTCTCATTCTGTTGCCTAGGCTGGTCTTCAACTTCTAGGCTCAAGGAATCCTCCTGCCTCCACCTCCCAAAACGCTGAGATCACAAGTGTGAGCCACCATGTCCAGCTTGTTTGCTCATTATTAATAGCACAGGACTAAAAGACTGGACAAGCTCTGGACATGAGGTGTGGGGTGTGGCCATGCCAACTATGATTTTTACTGTAGTGTTATCTAGCTGGGCAGTTTAGCCAGGATATCTCTGACATCAAGATCTTAATTTGTTCTTTTCACTTGCATTGGCCAGATTTCACAGAGAGGACTCTTCCAATATTCTGTTAGGATGGTGAAGATCTGGCTGCCAGCATTCAGTGAGAAAAGGAGGATGCTGGACTTTGTGTCCATCATGTAAATGCTCCATCCCGTATCCAGGATTCTTCCATCTAGAGGCCATATTATCATGTGCAAAGTGAACAGTCATACACTTATTGAAATCATATGTACAGTTTTAAAGAAAAAATAAATTTATATTTTATTTGTGTAACATTTTATTGTTTGCATATTGCATAGTGACAAGAACAGAGTCAAATGACTCATGGTCTGGCTCAACCACTATCTTGCGGTGTGAATTGGGTAGGTCTCTTAACCTTGCTCTACCCTTATTTCCTTATCTGAAAAATGATGGTGATAATATTTTACAGAACTACTAAATATTGAATGGGACAGTTACAGTAAGTCCCCTACAGTTCTAACAGCATGTTTAAGTCCAATCTGTCTGCAAGTCCAAAAAAATTAGCCTGGGTACCCAACTAATACAATTGACTACTCAGTACCCGCCACATGTCCACGCCTTTTACGCTTGTTTCTGTACATCTTGGGCTGAAATAAAGAAACTGTGCTACTGCACTCCATACAGTACTGTAAAGTACAAAAAAGCATAACCACTTGTAGAGGATGCATGCAGGTAACACTGTACACCAGACACGTGAACTAAGTTACGTGACTGGACATGCGAACACACATTCACATCTTAGAAAGCTTGGAACTTTAAGGTTCATATGCAGGAGACTCACTGTATGCTGTTTTCCTCTCAAGTAATGAGTCAGAATAATTCTATAGTTTGCTATTGCTAATCCCTTGTTCATCATCTCAATGTTAACTGTTCTCCATAAATTTATACATTAAGACAACAGTACCAATGCATTACTTTAATTCAGAATACTAACAATAGCATTAGCAAGAGAAAAGCAGACTCAAAAATGACCCTATCTTTTCTTATTTTTAGAACACTGGCTTTTACAATATTTATTTATTCCATCAGGAGTTCAATTCATTTAAGGAATTTTTTCTTCTTAGACCGAACTCAAAATGAATACCTACATAAGTGAAGTGAAATACCCAAGATTACATGTGTAATTATTTTATAGTTTCCCCTCTGACATAGTACAAGTAAAATACATATCATGGGCAGTTAAATACTTTCCCCCTACATCAGGGCTAATAATATATATGAAGATTAATTTCTTATACATTATCCCTAATGTAAAAAAAAAAATCACAGGTATATTACACTGCTTGTCAAGAATACATACACATGGTAGTCACTCCCAGACATGCGCACGTTTTCTAAGAATATTTCAACCATTATCAATATCATCTACATATCCCTTACAACTACATATAGTTGAAAACATGAAACTCCCTTTTAAGGTAATTCCGCAAGAAACTGTATTATAAAATATTTTTGTTAAACAAAATTGTATGTATGTGTTGAACTCTCACTCAAAGTACTACTCTTAGAGGGTAAACACAACTTTATACATTCTAGAAACATTTAAGCTGCTCTGCAACCCCCCTTACCCCACTCCAGCAAGAGATTAATAAATAAGGATTAAATATTCTATTTCACAAAAACATACAGAATGGCCAATATAAAAGTGAAAGGCTTGTTGATAATTCTTTATAGCAAATTATGTTCATTAAGAAGAAATAAGACGTATAAAATGACAAAGCGGTCACTAAATTTATCTCTCCTAAGATCATCACGAGTTATCTAAAAATTTCATGGCACCCTTGTTACAAACATTATTATTATTATTTTTTTTAAAAAGACTGTGTTTCCTGGAACTAGATGACTATTTGTCTCACAGCTTTTATTAAGCAAACTTGATATAACCACCACACAGTGGCAAAAGATAGACGAGCTGTTTCCAGCTACGGAAAATAGTGAATTCTACCTAAAGTACAGATCATTTGAGATACAACCCAAAGTGCAGTTTGTACTGACATTCCTTAAAATACTTTTGCTTTCAATAGAGTAGATTCATTTTCCTGCCATTTGGGATCAGCTTCCGTTGCTTAGTAACTATTTTCATGTCCAGCCAAGATGTAGAGATTGCTGTGTGCCGTAGGATTTTCTGTTGGCCTACTTTCCAGAACGACAACCCTGCAATTAAATCAAAACAAAAGAGTAAAGACAGATATCATGCTTCATATACTGAACTAGGAAACAATATCATTGTTCATATTCTCTTAAGATTATGTAAAGATCACAAATGCACAGTCAAACTTAGCTTTATATTTTACTGCTTAAAAACAACTTAATATGAATTGATGAATATAAGATACTGAAGACATTTTGGGATAGTATCTTATTCCAATTAAAAATAAATTTGTTTACTCATGTATGCCAATAAAAGGTATAATACTACTTTAGGAATGCATACTAACAGGAAGAGGATAGGAGAAGGGCTGAGAGAATAAAATGGGACTCTAAGAGATACTCCTCCAAACTGTCACATCTGAAAATAAGTGGTTTTAAAAAGTATGGAATGGGATCCCTCTCCCTAGTCTCTAGAACAAAAGTAAAGAAAGAGTTCAATCAAAAGACTGATTGGAAAAAAAAATCAACCAAGTGCTATACCACAACATTTTAACTGTGCAGAAGAGGAATTTGAAGGAAAACAAAAAAATCCACCCAGAGAAAAAAGTCTACAGAGGAAATGGGAGAAAAAAAATGCACATACACTTTATATTTTTCTAGTGTATGAATTGTCTACAATTAGCATGTTATTGCTTTTGTAATGAAAACAATAAAACAGTAATATGTACTTTATATTATGCATTACAGAAAAATAGAAGGGGAAAAGAAAAGTATCTATAATCCAACTGCCCAGAATTAACCACTATTAATATTTTGACATACTTAGGTTTTTTTCCCAGACACAAATGTCTCTATTTAAACGGCAAAATGATTGTTAATCACTGTTACAGTAAACACAAAACAAAACCTTTGGTTAAGATATGTATCTGAAAAACAAGGCAATGCCAAGTAGAAGATAAGCAGAACAAAACCATGGTCTAAAGGAAACAGTGACGGAGAGGGGAGAGACCATACAGACGGGGAGTGTAGGGGCGAGTGGGGGTGAGGACTCAGGACTCAGGAGCGAAGGGAGCTAGGAGTTGGACCTGCCCCCTCACCAGCCAGCCTTCCTCATTTCATCCCTGTGTTCCTGGCACCCGAGGAGCCACATTCTTTCGTGCCCCCCCCTTCCTGCAGAAGCAAGGCACCTCCGATTCTCATCCCAGACCATTTACCAGGTGACTCTCAGACTCTCTTTTTCTTTCTGGAGTAGTTACTAAGTTGCTATGCTTTGCGGGTTTACACTTTCTATTCGCTAATAGAATCATCGTTTCCCCCCAAAATTCCTATTCTCCTTATAAAACTCTCTTCAAAATTCTTATGGAGTTATGACTCCATTTCCCCTTCCTTCCATAGGGCAATTCTTGTCTCAGGACTAATACATACTACTGTGGTCAGTTTTGCTGTTCCTGTAGAGTCAGTAACAACTTGGTGGAAAAATAGAAAGGACAGGCATTTTATTATTGATAGAGATAGATGATAAACTATGGAGAACAAAAGCTACTACATGTTTTCCATGAGATGACACAGTTTTGGAACTTGTCTTTGATTTTGATCATGAAGAGACCACATCATTCCTTCTAACTTAGAATGACCACAGAAACTGAGTCAAACATTTTTTAACATAAAAGCAAATATGAGGAGGCGCATATTCAAAACAGTTAACAGAAGACAGCACACTAGGAAGAAACGAAAGCAAGGGCCCCGAAATATCTGTCATGGTGCTAGGAACATAAACATCTATATTAACACATTTTGTCTTGGTTGAATATAACTGTCTCTAGAATCCTGATCTCACATTGACAAAAAAAAATTGCTTAATTGATTTATTACAATATTATTCATGCTCTCAATATAGAAATTTCTCTAAGCCAATGAACTTCTAAGAGTTTTGTCTGAAACACAATTATAGGCTGATAGAATAATTAAGAGTACAATCTTTGAACTCCTTTGGTAGTTAAATTAATACAATCCAATTGTTACCTATCTGATCCTAACAAGCGGAAAACTCGTGTTTCGTCTGAAATCTCCTGGGTAACCTGTGAAAGAAAATACCTATCAGTAACATCTTACTCCTCATGTTGCTTAAATAATAATTACAATTAATCTAGATAGAGCAATTATTAAACAAAATGACTCATTTTTGATAGACTCCATTCCTCAAAATAAAATTCCTCAAATATAATAAATAATTTTTTTGACTGCCTATTAGAAAAAATGAACAAACATTTAAGAAATCATCTAATATGCGTCAGGCACTCTCCTTAAAAGGACTCTTGGTGACATGCAGTATAATTCCCATATTATTGAAGAAGAAACTAAGACTCAGAGAGGTTAGGTAGCTTGTCCAAGGCCATATAACCAGGAGACCCAAGACTTGAAAACATGTTTACAGGACCGAGACCCTGGGGAAGCTGAGGTGGGAGGACTGCTTGAGGCCAGGAGTTCAAGATTGGCCTGGGCAGTAAGTGAGACCTTGTCTCCACAACAGAATTGTAAAAAATTAGCCAGGCCTGTAGTTGTAGCTGCTTGGGAGGTTGAGGTGGGAGGATCCCTTGAGTCCAGAAGTATGAGGTTACAGTGGGCTATTATATTGCACCACTGTACTTCAGCCTGGGCAACACAGTAAAAACCTATCTCTTCAATAAATAAAAAAAATCACAGTGCAGGTGCTTTAGGGGCACCCTCATGGCCCATCTGATTTCAGCACAGCTGTAGTCAACAGGCTCAGGCATCAGTGGCTCACGTTAGTGTATCCTATGGTGTATTCTGCGCTGTCTTCCTCAAAGCTAAAGAAGGAGCTCAGCCGTGCATAGATTCTATCCCAAAGTATGCAGATTTACACCCCTGGGGCCGACCTTAACCAGCATGGAGTAGTAGTGGTACATATGTAGGGAACCCCCAAAAATCCTGCAATTATTTATGGTTTCCCCTAATAGGTAAGTGTTTTAGGAACCCACTGGCATCAGGGTACCAGCTAGCATTGTTGTGAGATGCTGTGTTTGGCATCACTGAATTCTTTGGGAAGGCTCTTTTAATGCATTTGCCCATTTTATGATGGGTGATTTACAAGTACACCTACCCACACAGCACTGAGTGTTTAGCAGTTTTGAGCCCAAAAGGGCATGATCCTCATACCCCATACCCTCCCTATTCACCTGATCTTGCCCCAAGGGACTTTTTTTGTTTTCCCGAATGAAAAAAGTCCTTAAGGGAAATATTCTGCCAATGTGGAAGAGGTGAAACAAAAAACGGCAGAAGCACTAAAAGGCATCAAAATGGATGAGTTTAAAAACCGTTTTGAAGCCAGGCGCAGTGGCTCACGCCTGTAATCCCAGTACTTTGGGAGGCGGAGGCGAGAGGATTGCCTGAGCTCAGGGGTTCGAGACCAGCCTGAGCAACATGGCAAGACCTTGTCTCTACAATAAATTAAAAAATAAAAGCTGGGTGTGGTGGTATGCACCTGTAGTGCCAGCTACTTGGAAGGTTGAGGCGGAAGAATAGTCTGAGCCCAGTAGGTCTAGGCTGCAGTGGCCATGAGCAGCATGCTACTGCACTTGAGCCTGGGTGACAGAGTGACTCAAACTTAAAAAGCAAACAAACAAAAAAACTGTTTTGAGCAGTGGAAAAAGCTTCTTGATAAATGTATTCCATCAAATGAAGAGCACTTTGAAGGTAACTGAAGTTTAAGCATGTAAGAATAAATACATGATTTTTTAATAAATAATTAGTTTCTTTTTGGGTCCCCCTTGTAAATGCTCCAGCCTCCTCACCTACAAATGAGTCAATTCTGATGGGCATTCTACCCCATTCCTCTTTGGTCCCTCCTGGATTAAGCCCTGGCTGTCCACTGTGGGTACCAGCTTATGAGTGTGCTCTCTATTGGTTTTGCTCTCTCCTCCTCATTCCATCACTTGTTTTCTGGAGTCTAGTCTCAAGTAAACTACCTGCACCTGAGTTCTTGTCTCAGGGTCTACTCTTAGAGGAAGCCAAACTAAGATAAAGTGGATATAAAATTAGTAAAAAAAAAACAAAAAAAACGGTTTGGTATCAATCAGTTTGCAGTGTACCTGAGAAAATAGAATTAATAAACTTGAATCCGAAAATAAATTAGGTGCTACACTAGGTGGAGTTGATTTTCAGGCTATTAAGTTAAGAGACACTCCAATCATTGTGGACTGGGGTGACTGAATATAACTTTAGGAGAGAGGTTAAGACTTCAGCTAGGCCCGAGTCGAAGGATGAGAACATATGTGGAAAGAAAGAGGTAATCAAGATGAATTAAAAATAGGCATTTAGAAATTCATATTTTATATCTTTATACGGTGAGAAACAAGTATTTTTTGAGAATTTCCCTTTCTAAGTTGGGGTCTCATTCTGTCGCCCAGGCTAAAGTGTAGTGGCACAATCATAGCTCACTGCAGCCTCCATCTCCTGGGCTCAAGCAATCCTCCTACCTCTGCCTCCTAAGCAGCTGGGACTACAGGCACCCACTATCATGCCCAGTTCGTTTTTTAATGTTGCCAAGGCTCATTTTGAACTTCGGGAATCAAGTGATTCTCCTACCTTGGTCTCTCAAAGTGCTGGAATTACAGGCATGAGTTACCATGCCTGGCTTTTCTAATGGACTTCTAACCATAGGAGTGACACAATGAAAACAGGATTTAAGAACAATTCACCTAATGATAGTAAGTAGGACTGTAGTTTTTATCAAGGGCAGGAACTTGGTGATATTTAGTGACATGGATCAGTAACCAGATAAATTGATATATTCAAACTTACATCATTTTCTTTCAGAAGCATTCTAGTTCTGCATTCATATAAGAGGTAGGGATATTCATTTATATATAAATAAGAAGATGGATAACACTAAAAGTAAATTCAAATAAAGGCTTTGAGCTTTCAGAAAGGTTACAAATTAATGAGGCCATGGAACAGAAGAATCACATAGGTATTCATGTAAATGAGATATGTCTCTGTTAGCATCAACTTAACTATTAGGAATCACTCCTCCAGTTGGAAGCCTAAATATCATCTCCTATATGAAATGCACCCTAATTATCACAGTTAGATGTGATTTATAGAGACCTTTCAAATCCAGGCTCTGCCACTTAACTAGTTATGTAGCTCTGGGCAAGTACTTAACCACTCTGTCTGTAAAAATGGGAATATGAATAGTATCTATCTTCACCTGATTATATTCAGCCTTCTACATGAGCTAGATTTGCAAAATGCCTGGAATATAATAGGTGTAATGTAAGAGCTTGATATTATTTGCAGTAAGTGTCTTGAACAAGTCATGAACGTACTCAATAGTTAATAATTTTCTTAGATTTTTCCCTTAGTTTTGTGATCCAGCATATATTAACTTAGATTTTAAAACTAACATTAAAAAAGGAGCTACATATTTATAAATTATGAAAAATTCCTATGAAATTCAGAGTTTTGTAAGCTTAGCAATCATATTTACAAGTTACGAGTAGTGAATGAAATTGTGTAAACTTATATTTTGCAATTCCTTGTAGTCACTGAGAATTTTGAAATACAATCAAAAGTGAACACAATTGAAAGGAAAATACTAGCTCTTGAGCCACCTGGCCTGCATGCTCATTGATTGCATATATGTCAGTGTTTCCCCAGGAGTGTTAGAACTTGTGAAAAAAAAATTATAGGTGAAAACATTTTGAACAATTCATGAAATCATTCTATCATTAATCAAAGAAAGGCATTATTTGGGTAATTAAAAATATAAGTGTTTTACAATTCAATATGTATACTTTTACAAACATGTTTTTCACTATTTTGAAAGTTTATATTCTTTATTTATTTTTTTAAATTTTAATATGAGTTTCAGTTATTGGCTCAAGCCTATAATCCTAACACTTGGGAGGCTGAGGCAAGAGGATTGCCTGAGCCCACGGGTTCGAGACCAGCCTGGCCAATGTGGTGAGACCTCATCTCTACAATAGCTCAACCTGTAATCCCGCGCCTTGGGAGGCTGAGGTGAGTGGATTGCCTGAGCCTGTGGGTTCGAGACCCACCTGGGCAACTTGGTGAGACCTCATCTCTACAATCAATCAAAAATCAGCTGGGCGTGGTAGCGCGCACCTATAGTTCCAGCTACTTGGAAGGCTGAGGCGGAAGGCTCGCCGGAGCCCAGCAGTCGAGGCTGCGGTGGCCGGGAGCGGCCACTGCACTCCAGTCTGGGCGACAGAGTGAGATTCCAACTCAAAAAAAAAAAATTAGCTAGACGTGGTAGCACGTGCCTGTAGTTCCAGCTATTTAGAAGGCTGAGGCAGAAGGATCGCCTGAGCCCAGCAGGTTGAGGCTGCGGTGGCTGTGAGCGTGCTATTGTATGATTAAAGCAACTAAACACAGTAATGTAGGTTCATAGAATAAATGCATAAAATGAATGTTTCAACATTTACAATGGTTACTGGGAGTCAGGGGCTATAATTTGAGAAAACTTACCTCATCTGACTTAAAGCTTTTACCTTGCATCCCATGTTTCCAGAAAGCCAATACACTGTCTTGAAGACAAACTAAAAAAGATAAGGGAGAACTGAAATTAAAATAAAACACAGAGCATTTCACTATACATTTCCCTGTATTTAATAAATGATAAATCTATTCAATTGCCTACTGTAAAATTCAATTGCCTACTGTAAAATTCCACTGTCCAGACCATTATTTCTCAACATTTTTGTGACCAAGGCATGCCTACGTTAAAGTAATTTATTGAGGCAAAACTATGCAAATCTATAAAGATATATACAACAGGCAACCATTTAAATATGGGCTAAATTCTGATAAGCTGGATATTGGCATATTAATTTCTCTTTCATACACTGTATCCTTTGTCTTAAAAGAATAAAATCATAAAACATATAATTGGATAAAAATGAATTATTATTTAAGTATTATAATATATTCAGGAATAGGTATTAAACAAATATCTTTCATGTTTACAGTTTCCCTTTTACAAAATTAATTTTAAAAATTAAAACTGCCCCACAATCCAAAATTGTATAATAAGTTTATACAATTTTGCAATTGTATAAACACATTGACTATTTAGGATCTGTGAGTCAATTCTGATATAAAATTCTTAGTATTTAGCCAACTATTACAATTTAAGTATTAGAGATAATTAAATACAGGGGGCATCAAAAAATGTATACACATTTTAAGAGCGTTATCTACGCATTACTTTTCAAAGATAAATTATGGTAGCAACATGTAGCATGACATTTGCTCATATGTGCATCTGCCATTTTATTTGATCTTCCTGTAGCATGTTGATGCTAGCATTCATTTGATTAATATTATCCTTTAAGCAAACGTCATACTTAAAATGTATATACATTTTTTTGGCACCTCCTGTAGATTTAGAAAAATATAAACAAAGGTGATGGAATTATTGAAAATTACTTACATTTCTTATTACAATATTTACTTTTTGTAAAAAGTTAATATAAAAACATTCTGGGTACATAATTTAGTTCAATAAAAAGAAAAGTATTTGACAATGACAAACTTCATGTGTTTTACTATGATAAATAAAAAAAGGAACTCTTTTATTTATTTATTTATTTTTATTTAATTTTTGAGTTGGAGTCTCACTCCGTTGCCTAGACTGGAGTGCAGTGGCATGTTCCCAGCCACCACAGCCTCGACCTGCAGGGCTCCAGTGATCCTTCCGCCTCAGCCTTCCAAGTAGCCAGAACTACAGGCACGCACTACCATGCCAGCTAATTTGAGACGCCGCGGGTCTCAAACCCGCGGGCTCAGGCAATCCCAAAGTGCTGGGATTATAGGCTGAGCCACCGAGCCCGTTCTAAAAAGGAACTCTTTTAATCAGGAGGATCCTTGTGATTACCCAAAGTTCAGTGGCAATATAAAATGGCAGCCTAGGAGGAACACATTTTTGTGTAACCATAAAAATTAACTAGCTAATTTGGCACATCTGAAAAAGTTGAGGTACTAGTGTGCTTCAATGAAAATGAAAAAGGAACTAAGGATTTATGTCAGGATCTCTCTCAAAAAATATTAAATCTTAAAAGCTAGCATGTGATAGCCAGTACACAGAGGAGTAACGGACAAACTAGTTTCCAAAATTCCTTTTGTCCTGGCAGCTGCAGAAAGTTTAGTATTTTTGCTTTAATAAATTACATTTCCCAATCATAAGGAAAAATTTTTTTTTTTTTTTTTTTGAGTTGGAGTCTCACTCTGTCGCCCAGACTGGAGTGCAGTGGCCGCTCCCGGCCACCGCAGCCTCGACCTGCTGGGCTCCGGCGATCCTTCTGCCTCAGCCTTCTGAGTAGCTGGACCTACAGTCTCGTGCTACCACGCCCGGTTAATTTTTTAAAAATTTTATTTATTGTAGAGATGAGGTCTCACCAAATTGCCCAGGCGGGTCTTGAACCCGCGGGCTCAGGCGATTCACTTTACCTCAGCCTCCCAAAGCGTGGGATTACAGGCTGAGCCACCGAGCCCGGCTAGCAAAATATTTTTATGTAAGATGTTACACAGAGGTACACACATATTTTGTGATAGGGCAAAACTCCAGTTGAGAAATTCATATTAAAATTTTAAAAAATAAATAAAATAAACTTTAAAAATGGTGAAAAACATGTTTGTAAAAGTATACATATTGAATTGTAAAACACATATTTTTAATGGTCCAAATAATGCCTTTCTTTGATTGATGGTAGAATCATATCATGAATTGTTCAAAATGTTTTCACCCATAATGTTTTTTTCCACACGTTCTAACACTCCTGGGGAAAACACTGACATATATGCAATCAATGAGCATGCAGGCCTGGTGCAGGGGCTCAAGCCTATAATCCCAGCACTTTGGGTGGCTGAGGCGAGAGGACTGCCTGAGCCCATGGATTCGAGGCCAGCCTGGCCAATGTGGTGAGACCTCGTCTCTACAATAAATCAAAAAATTAGCTGGGTGTGGTAGCGCGTGCCTGTAGTTCCAGCTATTTGGAAGGCTGAGGTGGAAGGATTGCCTGAGCTCAGTAGGTTGAGGCTATAGTAGCCATGAGCGTGCCATTGCACTCTAGCCTGGGCGACGGACACAGTAAGACTCCAACACACACACACACACACACACACACACACACACACACACACACACACACACAAAGAGCATGCAAACAATGGTAAACTGTAATAATTTTTTAATCATAAAACCAATGAGTATCACAGAGTATAACACTAATTAACAAGGAAACACATTAAAATGGCATACTATTTTACAAGTCCTGTGGGCAACTAGCTATTTATATATAAATAGAACCAAAAGCAATTATATCAACACACACCAACCAGAATCTTACAATGCAAAGAATTATAGTATATCTAACATCGTTATCACATCATACAAATACCTTCATGATTTGGAAAGAACTGAGAGAAGTATAATTCACTTATGCAGGCAAAGGGAATAATGAACAGAAATTTTAAAAATGATGACAAGTTTTAAATATTCAGGAAATAAAAGATGTATTATGATCTGCACTGTCCAATATGGTAGCAATTAGACACATGTGGCTATTTACATTAAAATTTAAACTAATTAAAATTTAAAAAAATTAAAGTTAAAATATAGCACTAGTCATGTGTCAGGTGCTCAAGAGTCATATGTTTTTAATGGCTACTGAAGAGCACAGATAGAGCACATTTCTCTTTTCACAGAGACTTCTATGAGACGGTGTTGGTCTAGCCAACCCTAAGTACAGAATGAATAATAATAATTAAAAAACCCCACAAGTATGTCAAATCTATTAATGGAAAAAAGGAGACTTACCTACAGATTCAATGCGGAAATCAAAACTCAGCTCAGAGGCCAATTTCTTACTCGATTTTAGTTTTCCTTGTAGATTTACAATTTTCACAAATTCTTTAAAAAAATAAAAAAACAAGTCAAGACTGAAAATGCAAATTGGCTAAAATAAACGTAACCTGATATATATGGGTTTTACATGGATATCAAACAATATTAATAAAGTTCAACTATCTTGATTCAAGCATGCTGAATGTTAAAAAAATCATCATTAATGTGTTTTGAAAGATATACTCTAAGAGTGCTTCCACTGGTAAATTCTGCTATTATTTTCTTTTTTATACAGTATATATTGAATATTAACATTCTCATTTTTTAAAAGGCACTTTTCTTCTTTTTTTTTTTTTCTTTTTTGAGTTGAAGTCTCACTCTGTCACCTAGACTGGAGTGCAGTGGCCACTCCCGGCCACCGCAGCCTCGACCTGCTGGACTCTGGTGATCCTTCTGCCTCAGCCTTCCGAGTAGCCAGAATTACAGGTGCGTGCTACCACACCCGACTCATTTTTGATTTATTGTAGAGATGAGGTCTTGCCAAGTTGCCCAGGTGGGCCTCGAACCCGCGGGATTACAGGCTGAGCCACCGAGCCCGGCTGGCACTTTTCTTCTTTAAAAGTAGCTACTTTAGTCGGGCTCGGTGGCTCAGCCTGTAATCCTACGCCTTTGGGAGGCTGAGGTGAGTGGATTGCCTGAGACCGTGGGTTCGAGGGCCGCCTGGGCAACTTGACGAGACCTCATCTCTACAATAAATCAAAAATGAGCCGGGTGTGGTAGCGTGTGCCTGTAATTCCGGCTACTCGGAAGGGTGAGGCGGAAGGATCACCGGAGCCCAGCAGGTCGAGGCTGCGGTGGCCGGGAGCGGCCACTGCACTCCAGTCTGGGCGACAGAGTGAGACTCCAACTCAAGGAAAAAAAAAAAAAAAGTAGCTACTTTGTTGTCCAAATGTTTAGCATTGTTTTTTTTTCCATTAAAATTTATACAACAAATAATTAATTTACAGTAACTAGTAACTTACTATATGAGTTCTATTCTGCAAAGGCACACGTGGCAAGAAAGAGTACCCTCAAGGGTACTAAACTCTAGGATGGGGAGCATACATAAATAATTCTAGTTCCCTTTAGTTTATTTGTTTCTTAATTTCGTCATCTTAGCTGGTAAAAATTGGAGTTGGAAAACTCCTCTTCATGGCACTGCTCTCTTATCTGCCTGTTACTATGATTTGAGATGATAGACCTATCTCTATTGTTGTCTACTAAACTTGACTTATATTGTATATCTGACAACAAATGAAGTCTTCTCCTCCTTGAAAAACAAAAATCTCAAGGATGTTTCTATTCACCTTGATTAACTAGGAAATGGAGGGCCTAGTTAATCAATTAAAAAAAATTGTTTTAGAAACAGAGTCTTGCTCTGTCACCTAAGTGTGTACCACACCAGCTTAATTTTTTAAATTCTTTATATAGATGGAGTCTCACTATATTGTCTCGGACTCCTGGCCTCAAGTGTTTATCCTACCTTGGCTTCCCAAAGCACCAGATTATAGGCCTAAACCACTATGCCTGGTTTTTTAATAATTGCAATAAAATATATAAATCACTGAAATGAAAAATAAGCAAGACTTATTTTCCTTTGATGACTCAGAAGACATTTAAGGATTTAATTAAAGGTTCAGCTTTGTTAAAGTAAATTCTGGTTATCTGATTATTTGGTTAATCAGTATGGACCTTTCTGTTTATTTAGATTAAAAAATTTATCAAATTCACTTAAGGATGACCAAATAACACTCAAATCCTATCAGTATTCAGATAATCAAAAGTTCCTAACAAAATTATGATTGTGAATGAAACACTGTAAGTTTTGGTTTATTCATCTGTAAGAGGATCTTTATGATTCTATAAGGTAAATTTAGTAGGGAATCCTTCAGCGAATCAGAAATGTAGACAGAAAAAACAGGCAAAATCATAGTAGGACAATGATTTCTCCTGAATACCTGTGGACAGGGCCAGCAATTAAAAAAAAATGCAATGGACTGACAACAGCAAACATTACCAAGTTTCAAATATAACCCCAAATCTGGGTGAATGCCACACCCTGTAGAAGTCATTGCATAAAAATAAGGTGGGTCTTAAGAACCAGAGTGCTTTATTTGCAAAATCAAAATAATGCCTGTTCCTCAAGTTTTTTTTCTGCCTCTCTAATGCTAACATACAACACACTTCTATCAATAAAAACTCTCCTTGCATCAAAAGAATCATAATTAGTAGATGAAGATGTCAAATACATAAATATGTTAGAATCACACCATGACATAACTCCAAAAGTATATGTAATAAGACTATAAGTGACTATATATTAGTATAATATTCTATTTTTCCTTAATTAGAATGAGGTCTGGGATAGAATAGTTTTATAGGAATTTTATTCCAAGGTTATAACAAACAATTCTAATATAATGCTTCTAATATTTTTTTAAAAAGTCACAGAAGATAGTTCTGACAGACAGATCAATTAATTACAGTATCTGTAGCTGATTTAGGTTTTTCTTCAATAAAACTAAGCCATTTAAGATAGAAAAGTGAAAATACTGAATTATAGTTTAATAGAATATATTCTGTTAAAAGGATTATTTTATCAAGTAGTTACTTAAATAAACTTAAAAAAACTACTTACTGTCTAAACACACCAAAACGGTATCTCTCTCCAACTGTGTTACGTGAATGGAATCTAACTGTTGGCTGCCTTAAGGGGGAAAAAAACAAGGTTACAGTTATATGATATACGTTTAAAAACTAGAGCTTAAAAAATAAACACAAATTCTAACTTTTGCTGCAACTGAAAATTGGTCTTTGAAATTTAACACAGAATTTATATTTTGTAACATGTTATCTTTCAAAAAATGCATGTAAGTCAATTTCAACACAGATCCTAAGGATGGCTGGCTAAGCTGAAAATACCTCAATATTGCATTTATTTAATACCTCAGCCAGTTCTAGAAAGGTGAGTTACAAAAATAAAATGAAGCAAAGGGTGAACATGGGGAGGGGAGTAAAGAGCGTGCTATAGAATGGTGAGATTTTGCTCTGCGTTTTATATAACCCACAGAGATGGAAACAAGATCAGTTAGGTGAATCACAGCATCCCTAAAATAAAAATAAGCTAGCAATTTAAAAAAGTACAAGGATTAATAAAACTATAAGAGAGAAATTTTCCTGGTATTGGCATGTGTTTATAGGTGGGTGGGAGTTCTTTTATAATGAGGATACTGAGAAACATAATGAACAATATTGTCAACAATCATTTTTGCAGGATGTAACTCTCATTACTCAGCTGATATTTATTTATTTATATTTTTTGAGTTAGAATCTTACTCGGTCGCCCAGACTGGAGTGCAGTGGCCGTTCCCGGCCACTGCAGCCTTGCCTGCTGGGCTCCGGCGATCCTTCTGCCTCAGCCTTCCCAGTAGCCGGAATTACAGGCATGTGCTACCACGCCTGACTGATTTTTTGATTTACTGTACAGATGAGGTCTCACTGCCCAGGCAGGTCTCGAACCCGCGGGCTCAGGCAATCCACTCACCTCAGCCTCCCGAAGGCACGGGATTACAGGCTGAGCCACCGAGCCCGGCCTCAGCTGATATTTAAAAAGCTGTTTCTAATATCTGCTGATAGATGTGATAACACTTTTAAAAACTTTTTTTGGGTAAGACATTCATTTTAAGTATCCAGATTGCTCAAATGTTCTAGCTGAATCTAAGAAAAGATATTAGATTATTTAGCCACTATTAACTACATCTTTGAGAAGTCTATGATCTTCTCCCTTAAAAACTGCATACTCAAGCATAAACACAAATTTTTATATAATATTTTGGGGGTATCTGTGGGTCTTCCAAAGCCCATAATGGTTAAGAATCCAGATCTACAAAACCAACAGACTGTTTAGGCAATGCTCCAGAAATAGCCAATTTATGTTCATGCACTCATTCAACAAATATTTACTGAGTGCTAACTGTATATATGCTAAGCACCATCCTCAGAGTAAGGATGCTGCATTAATAAATCAGACTAAGACTAAAAGAATCTTGAAATAGAAGCTCATTTTAACATTACAACAGGAGACAAGGAACTCAGCTGGGAGCTGGGTTACAACATCACTTGTGAAAATAGAGAAACCTAATGAGGACCAAGTGCTGGACTAGAAAGACTGCCTCATCTCTTCTCAAGAAGAGTCCTGGACTTCCCCAGGAAGTAATTTGGGGTCTGCTTTAATTTTAGCCAAGGCTATGTTAAAAGTGGGCAGAACAATACACCTCAGGCATTAAAAACAAACAACAAAACCCTAAAAAAAACTTCCCAAACTCAAGCTAAAAAAGAGGACTCATTGAATGTCTAGACTAAAACAATATAACGTTCTAACATATCATCCAAAAGAAAAAGGCTGCAACATGAGATAACTGTGAAATGACCTGCTTTATATACTACACTAACCAGTAAAGAAGGTTGGGCTATTAGCCAAAAAGAGTTTTTTTGTTTTGTTTTGTTTTGTTTTGAGTTGGAGTCTCACTCTTTGTTGCCAAGGCTGGAGTGCAGTGGCACGTTCATGGCCACCGCAGCCTCGACCTGCTGGGCTTCAGCGATCCTTCCACCTTAGCCTTCCAAGTAGCTGGAACTACTTGTTTTATTGTAGACATGAGGTCTCGCCAAGTTGCCCAGGCGGGTCTCGAACCCGGTGGGTTCAGGCAATTCTCTTGCCTCAGCCTCCCAAAGTTCTGGGATTACAGGCTGAGACAAAAATGGTTTTTAAATAAGTTGATCTATAACCATTCTTTTGAGCAGTAATGACATAACAAATATATATTTCTATTTGGATAGCTTACATCTCATGATTTTAAAGCAATGCCATTTGCACCTTTCTGTTAGCTATATCAGGAGGGCATGCATCCAACTAACCAAAAGCATTAAACAATAAATTAAAAAAGCCAGGGTGTGTGTGTGCCGGTGAGGGGGAGGATGGTACATGGTATGACTGGTCTATAAAAGAATGCTCACATTCCAGTGCATGCTGGCGCTGGCTTGTACTGGGTTGTTAAATTTTCTGGAGTTTTGTGAGCCACAAGATATCAGGTTGGTAGTTTGAAATTGGCCATGGTTGGTGTAATTATGGAGTAACAAATGGTTGTACTCCAAGAGCCTGTTGTTAAACATTTACTAGGGAACCATTGGTTCACAGTGATTCTTATTCTGAAAGTGTTATTAGTGCAGGTTCTACATTATAATGAGATGTCATAATTTAGTCTATACATGATCAAAAGCCAAAGGACATTTAATAAGAAATATCAAACATACTATATAATAACAGACTTCTTCACAAGATGGTAAAGAATATAAAAGTGGTCAGTAATGAAATGGCCATAACTGAAGCTTGATTTCATATGTAAAAATGGCCTAATATACCTATATTACGAGTGATCAAATAAAACACTAGCACAACAAACAGGAAGCTGGCAAAATGAACTCTCTGTCCCCATTTCACATATGCAGATTCAAATAATGAATTCTTGAATTACTTGTTTTCTTTTTTTTGAGTTGGAGTCTCACTCTGTCACCCAGACTGGAGATCAGTGGCCGCTCCAGGCCACCGCAGCCTTGACCTGCTGGGCTCCAGCGATCCTTCCGCCTCAGCCTTCCAAGTAGCTGGAACTACAGGTGCACGCTATCGTGCCCGGCTAATTTTTGATTTATTGTAGAGATGAGGTCTCGCCAAGTTGCCCAGGTGGGTCTCAAACCCGCGGGCTCAGGCAATCCATTCACCTCAGCCTCCTTTAAGGTTTGAGAATAAACTTCCCAATCTTTTCAGATCTCCAGTGAACTCACTTTGCTTGAGAAGTTGATACAATTTTAAGAGTATCATGGAAAATATAATTATCTTGCAAGTCCAAAGATTACCTGGTAACAACTAAGACCTTTCAATGCCAAGAATCATTACAATTTTCCTTGGTAAAATAATTTGTATCAAACTATCTCTCACAAATAGAGATCATAGACTATACATATACGATTCTCTGCACTTACTTGGTAAGCTGTGTTTTGAAAATTTATTTAAAAGAGCCCATGCTGGTTGAACTTAAGTGCATCAATATTTGTACATAGGAAAAACGCTTACCTGCACCAATTTCTGTAAACCAAGAAGATGCAGAGTTCAAATTGATTGTCTCAAACTGAACAACCTGGTTAGATTCAGTGCCTCTGCTGATAGCTACACAGACCATAGGGTATTCCTGTTCTGGTATCACCAGCATTTCAAAAACATTCAAAGGACTTGGCAAAGGAAAATCAAAGTGCTGCAAAAAAACCAAACAGACCACAATTTAGAAACAATGTCCCCACTCATACTGCTGATGAATAAAACCAACAGAAAGACTTTCATTTTCTTCATTTATTTAATTCTAAAAACGACTACGTCTAAGATGGTAGTGAGGATGAATGTTCTTTAAAATGTGTTTAAGAGAACTGGCCATATTAATCTTTATGACTGATGGTTCTAGAAGTCTATTAAATAACATCAGTTAAAGAGTATATCTTAAGAACACAAAAATCCCGAAATCAAATAAACAACTATGAATGTTCTGACCCTAGATAGTAGCAATGGAGTCATATAATTTTAGCTTCAGTTATATGCTGGTGTTTTCTTTTTCTTTTTGAGTTGGAGTCTCACTCTGACACCCAGCCCGGAGTGCAGTGGCATGCTCCTGGCCACTGCAGCCTCGACCTGCTGGGCTCTGGCGATCCTTCTGCCTCAGCCTTCCAAGTAGCAGGAACTACAGGCGTGCACTACCACACACAGCTAATTTTTGATTTATTGTAAAGATGAGGTCTCGCCAAGTTGCCCGGTTGGGTCTCAAACCCAAGGACTTAGGCAATTCACTCGCCTCGACCTCCCAAAGTGCTGGGATTACAGGCTGAGCCACTGAGCCCGGCCTGGTGTTTTCTAAAGAAGGAAAATGTAAACCAAGTGACAAATACCTTTATCAGCATGAACTTCTGCATTGGCTCATACCACTGAAGTAAAACAATTCCAGACTGCAAAGCGCCACAGAGGTACTTATGGCCTGTGTAAGGGTTTCTGACTGGAAAGAAACAACAGCAAAAACAACCCAACACTGAGTATCTTTATATGAAACAAAAATAGTTCGGCTAACAGTAACAACTATATTCTCCTAAAAGCTAACTTAACTTTCTTTGTAAAGGGAGAAAAATACGAATACAAGAAGAAACTATTTGAAGTGGTTGTTTAGCTGATAAAGAAAAATTATTATTATTATTTTTTTTGAGTTGGAGTCTTACACTGTCGCCTAGACTGGAGTGCAGTGGCCGCTCCCGGCCACCGCAGCCTCGATCTGCTGGGCTCCGGCGATTCTTCTGCCTCAGTCTTCCGAGTAGCCGGAATTAGAGGCGTGCGCTACCATGCCCGGCTGATTTTTTGATTTATTGTAGAGATGAGGTCTTGCCTGCCCAGGCGGGTCTTGAACCCATAGGCTCAGGCAATCCACTCACCTCAGCCTCTCAAAGGCACGGGATTACAGGCTGAGCCACCGAGCCTGGCTAAGAAAAATTATTTTAACGGTTAACTAGGATGACAAGAGTGGGCAGAAGTAAAGAAAAGTATTCTTTTTTGATGCTTATTACCCTTTTATTTTCACTTATGTAAAATAACATACATTTACTTCTAAGTACCCTTAATATACTAGGTTCTTCAACATAGAAGCTTTTTTTTTTTTTTTTTTAGAGTTGGAGTCTCACTCTGTCGCCCAGACTGGAGTGCAGTGGTCGCTCCCGGCCACCGCAGCCTCGACCTGCTGGACTCTGGCGATCCTTCCGTCTCAGCCTTCCACGTAGCTAGAGCTACAGGAGCGCGCTACCACGCCCGGCTAATTTTTTGATTTATTGTAGAGATGAGGTCTTGCCTGCCCAGGTGGGTCTCGAACCCGCGGGCTCAGGCAATCCACTCACCTCAGCCTCCCAAAGGCGCAGGATTACAGGCTGAGTCACCGAGCCAGGCTTATAGAAGCTTTTTTATAAAAATAATACATTAAGCACTAAAACACCTAACCTAGTATACAACCTTAAAAATTTGCTTTTTATTAGTAAGCAGACTAAAAGAATGAGTCCTGACAAGGTCTCAGGGGCAACTGAAATGCATGGTCTCACTTTTGGCATAGAAGTTTACAGATATCTACTTAAGTTAAACATAATTAGTTCATCCTGATGTAACTTGACTCAAATCTACAAACATTCATATTGATCTGTCTTTCCTTCTTCCCAATTTGTCTCCCATCAATAATAATATATTTGTTATAAGAGTAGTTGTTTGCATTAAGCTCTAAAGTATTTTATATCTTAGATTGTGAGCTTCTAGACCTTTTCTCAATCATAGATCCGGGGAATCCGTTAACAGATATGGATAAGATTCTCCCTAGAAAAATGATCATGAAAGATGTGCTTATATTTGTAGCATATCTGTGGATAAACATTTTTGTTCTAGAGTATGAACTATGCAGAACAACTTTTAATGTAGCATGAAGATCAGTGTGTAAGCTCATTGATCAAACAAAAGGATAAACAAGAAGTTAGGAGCCCAAGATCTGAAGTCATTGGACCTGAATCTGATTCCAGGTTCTGTTACTAGTGATATAATGGAGTTGTTTGCAGATTAAGCAGTTAAGAATTTAATCTTGTCCCAAAAGAGATCTGACTTCTAGCCTCCCAATTCTGGAAGATAATCACTCAGCCTTTGGAATGTCATGTTTGACAGGAGTGTCTTTGCCTTGGGGACCTTGGGTCACTGGATAGTGTAACAATATGCTTTAGGAAGGGAGCTAAAGATTAAGATAGTCTGGATAGTCTTAGGGTGAGGGCTGGTCCTGTCAGAAAGGCCAACGAGATATAGGGTGGGGGCTTAGGATCACGTAGTATCAGTTGATCTCCAGAGGGGCTGCATGCTAAGATCAGCAATGTGGGCAATCAATTATGCCTTCATGATAAAGCCTCAATAAAAATTCTGGACACTGAGGCTCAAATAAGCTTCGTGGCTAGCAATGCCACACACCAATGCCAGATAAGTAATGCTATCCATTTACTCATAGGGAGAGGACAACAGAAGCTCTGCACTTGGTACTTTTCCCAGACTCTAGAGAATATTTGAATCTGAAGGTAGTTTGGGGAATCCCCTAACTTGCAGTTGGTATCAGAAGTGAGGATGGTCTTGTGTGAACTATTCTCTCTAACTTCATAGTTAACCAAACTCCAGTAATAATGTTCATAAAGTACTAACAGTAACTGGTAGATGGTAAATGTTAAATAAATGAAAGCTAGACTATTAGCAGAGATACAGTCTCAGGAACTCTGGTTAAAAACTCTAGGAATACTATGCTTTGAGAAAACACTAAGGAAAATAATATCTCTAAGCATCTCTATACCATGTCTCTCTATGCATTATTGTGCTTCTATGGTACCTTAAGTACTTACTAAAAACAGATACAAAACCTACCTTCCTTCCAATTTGAATCTATAAGACTCCTTGATAATTTTTTTTTTAACTTTTAACTTTTTTTATTTTAAAGATATGGGGTACAATTCAAGGTTAGGTATACAAATATTCATTGTGCCTTGATAATTTTAAAGATGTTAAAAGTTCTAACCATGCAGTTTGAGAAATAGCATTTACTCACCTATGCAACATTTATGACAGCCTTTTGTATCAGGAATTTTTGTTGTTAAAGCGAACTTTCTGAAAACATAAGACAATATAAATGCACTCAACTGCACGGATTGCCACTTAGTGATTTGTAAATCAGATGTATCAGAATCAGACAGAAAGCAGCTTTAAAAAATTGTCTTAAAACCTGACTCTAGACTATTTGATTTTATAGGAAATCTGTATTATAAATTTCCACAGATGATTCCCAAGGTCAGGTTTAGGAAACATTGAGCTTTTCTAGATAACATACACTTTAGTGTAAACTACTTGTGAAAATCAAGCCAGAGCAAGTTTTTTACTAGGCAAGAAATATACTGGTTATTTAAAAAATAAATACAATTCCCCTCAGTCTTAGTAGAATCAAAATGATATTTCATACCTTGGTAGTATGCGGTCTGGAAACCTGTGAGTTTGAATATGGGCAGCTAATCCTGGTTTTCTAGCTTGTTCAAACAGAGCAATAAGATTATGAGAGTAGAGCTGAAAGGTTTTTCCTATAAAAGAAAAACAGGTACTTTTATTACAATCATTAAAACAAAGAAATATAATTTTCAAGAAAAATAAAACATAATTACCTTCTAAAATGAGGAGTCCAATAATGTTCAAAAAGCCAACCAAAAGAGAAAAAAACACATAAAAAACTCAGTTAATTTTGAAAGACAGAATAGGTAAAATGACTTAAGTAAACAAATAATTTTGTTTTATAAGACACAAATTAGGTATACTGTGACTAATCAGTGGTCTTGGCAGAGTAAACCTTAATGATCCTAGCATAGAAGAATAAATTGTTAAACACTGGTACATAAAACCTTATGTTATAATGCAATTATGCATCAGTCATTATTTTAATACAACATGTAAAATTCTATAAAGGTGCATTTTTATTATTTATTTGGGACACTATTTATCAATAATTTGTCAAATTAACTTGGATTAAAACTGATTATGAATGAAGTCTTAAATATAATAGATTGAAATACTAAAAAGAATAAAGCAAACCAATATTATGAGCCATAATACAAGGCTAATAGTGGTATAATTCCACAACTCCGTTTAACACAGTTGTGTTAAGCAAGCGGAGAATATAATAAACATCTTCTGATGCCTCATTACACATGATATGATTATAACAACACAAAACAATATTTATCTTTTTATTATTAGAAAACATGTATGTGTGTGCAAATATATCGTTTTTTCCTTAACAAAATTCTCTGTAGTTTCTCAGAACAGAAACGTTGTGCCTAATACTGTATTGTTATTTTATAAATATATAAGATGTACACTGTGCAATTTTTAAGTTAATTTCCAAAGACAAGTATGAGTAGAGATAAAAGCAAAAAGAGAGTTAGAGAAAAGTAATTTTATATGCTTACAATTTGGAATTGTTAGCTCAAATAGAATTAGCTCTATTTTCTTAACAGTTACATATTAATATTTTGCTAAACAAAAGCAAAAAAGGTTTGGGAGAAGTCTAATTAAAATAAAAGAGGACATCAGTTTTTAGAAGTCATTTATGCACTATCAAATAATATGTTCAGTCTTAGTGTCATTAGCTCAAATATACAGCTTCCTGAAGAAGCTCTACTGGAGAAGAATTAACTATCTTGTACTCTACTATCAGAATGAAAGCAATCAGTAAGCTTCTAGTAGCCATTTAAATCTAAAATGTAAGAAAATATTTTTTGGTAGGTAGGTAACTCACTCACTCAATCCCAATAATAACCAAAAAAGAAAAACAAAAAACAAAATTGGAGTATGTTACTCTGGTCTTCTGGTTTAGAAAACTTAAAGGAAAATCATCCAAGATAGTTAATAGGTGTCTAGGACAACATGAATTCCACTAGCAAACACCTGAAAGAGACTCCACAATTGACTAAGCACTTGGGATATCACCTCACTTAACCTTGTAATATTGTTACCCCAGCACCCTCATTTTACGATTAAAAAAACGGAGGCCAGCCGGGCTCGGTGGCTCAGCCTGTAATCCCGTGCTTTGGGAGGCTGAGGTGAGTGGATCGCCTGAGCCCATGGGTTCGAGACCCACCTGGGCAACTTGGCGAGACCTTGTCTCTACCATAAATCAAAAACTAGCCGGGCGTGGTAGCGAGTGTCTGTAGTTCCAGCTATTTGGAAGGCTGAGGCGGAAGGATTGCTGGAGCCCAGCAGGTTGAGGCTGCAGTGGCCGGGAACGGCCACTGCACTCCAGTCTGGGTGACAAAGTGAGACTCCAACTCAAACAAACAAACAAACAAAAAACCAAAAAAAAAAAAAAAACGGAGGCCGAGAAAGTAAGTGACTTGTTCAAGATCACAGAAAAGGAAAGCAGCTTATTCCTCTGCTTCTTTCCCTTCAAGCAGTAATTTCCAACCGAAGGAAGCAGTGGCACAGTGGTGGAGGACACTGAGTGGGAGAAATAGCTGCAGGTGACAATCACGGTGCTCTGTTGCCCGTGTGCAGGGTGGATTTGAGAAGTGCTGCCCTAACTGAAGATAAGAATTCCTTACCAAAACATCTTCCCATTCTAAGTGGGCAGAAAAATCTACAAGTCCCAAAGTTAGTATGCTAGTTTACAGTTACCTAGAAATAAAGTAACATCGAAAAATAGTGTCCACTAAGATTACATTTCTCTTCTTGTCTATGGTTTGTTTTTCATCACATACGTACCTGATAATGACATTAAAGTATTATTGATAACATATAGCCAAGTACACTTCCGTGGAAATAACTGAAGGAAAAGAAAGATAATTAAAATCCTCTAATTGTCATTCTTTTAACCTTAAAGTTTCCAAATTTCAACATTCTAAAATAGTACAGAAACAAATATTTTCTATCTTTTAGCTAATTACCAGAACCTTAGGAAAAATCATTCCACATGAACATGTAAAGGTTACAATTTCAGTCCTTTAAGTATTTAATTCATAAATATTAATACTGGGGCCAATGCAAAATGATTTAAAGTTAAGATACTTCTTTTATTCAATCTGTCCAAATGTATTTCTTGAGTTAAAACTCATTACCTGTTCCATCGTTGCCTCATGTAGCTCATTGAGATTCAGTGTGTAAATACCATCTTCAGTTCCAAAAATAATGTACTGATCTATAATAATTGAGAAATTACCAGAACTCACTGTCATTTTCTGAAATCATTGACTAAAATCATTAATTTATATTATAATGTCAGTAAGAGTTAGCCACATATCCATCCAAAGTAAAATTAGTTTCTAAAATTTATGCCACCTACTCTAAAATTTATGCCACCTAGTTTCTAAAATTTATGCCACCTTTCCTTTCCTGAATTCCTTTCTTATTTTTTAAAAGTAGATATATTCTATGTTAGATTTACTCTGATTTTATCTTACTATATAATCCTTCCATTCAACAAAACTTCCTTTCTCTCATCCTTCCCTCCTTTGTTCAAGACTAGATCTCACTGTTGCCCAGGTTGGAGTACAGTGGCATAATCATGGCTTATTATAGCCTCAACTTCCTAGGCTCAAGCAATCCTTCTGCCTCAACCTCCCAAGTAGCTAGGACTAAAGACATGCACGACAATGCCCAGTTAATTTATTTTTTTATACAGAGTCTCACTAATGTTTCCCAGGCTGATCTTGAACTCCTGGCCTCAAGCTTCTGCCTTGGCCTCCCAAAGTGCTGGCATTACAGGTATGAGCCTCCATACCCAGCCATAGTTTTCATTTTTTGAAGTTTTTTTAATTATACATTTTTGTAAGATACTTCAAATATTCTTTTAGACAAGAAAACTATAAATTAAATATAAACTATAAACCATGACACACCAGAAACAATGAGAATACCTAGTATACAGATCTTGGTTTCTAAGCACTATTTTCCACTAAAAAGAATCAGGGTTTCTTGGAGAAAGACTGATTCCAATTCTGGGGCAAAGAAAGTAGATGACCCTAGAAATCTTGCAGTGTCAGAAAGTAAGGAGGTGCTAAAAAAATGATGAGGACATTTTAAACATAGGAGCTCCAAGCTTCCACTCCAAAAAATTCTGGAATAATTTAAGTGTGAAAATAAATAATAGATCATATTAAATAAATAGATTATATTTCACTGAATAAAATAGAAATTCATAAGTTTAAACAGATATAAATACATAAAACAACAGATGGGAAAGAAAGGAAACTAAGGATGTCAGTGGATTTTGCCAGTAGATGCTAAAACTAGTGGGTGAAAGTCTGATGAGCAAGAGGACATTTATAAACAGTCTCAACGCATCTTCATCTTAATTTATAAATTAGAAAGGGAAAAATAATAACTTGACAGTGAAAACTACCTTAGCCAATTAACTAATGTTTATATCACTAATATTTGGATAAGCTAATATTATGTGCTTCTTGACATGATACACTGAGAAGAGTACAGTATCATTTGTTTTATTCCCAGCAAAAATGTATAACCTGACCTCAAAATGAGGACTCATCAGATACACCCAAATTAAAGGATGGTCTACAAATAAGTGGCCCTCACAAATGGTAAGACCAGGAAGATAGAGGAACTGTTCTAAACTAAAGGAGACTAAAGAGACACAGTGGCTACATGCAACAGGGGATCTTGAATTAGATGTTGGACAGGAAAAGTAACAACGGGATGGAAACTATAAATAATTTTATTGGGACAATTAAAATTTAAATATGTACATCAGTGATAAATTTCCTGATAGTTATAATTGTACTGTGGTTATGTAAGAGATAAATCCTGTTTCTAAGAAATTGAAGTATAAAATATAAACATACATAGTATTTATAGATATAAATACATAATGAAGTATAGAGGAGATGAGTATGAGGTCTCCAACTTATTCTCATATATAAAAAAATGTATATATAGATAGAAAATGGTAAAAATAAATGCACAAAAGAGAAACAACTGCTGATTCTGTATATATAGGAATTTCTTGTGTTATTTCTGTAATTTTTCTGTGAGTTTGAAGTTACACCAAATAAAAAGTTACAAACAAAGCCAAATCCATTTCCTATCAAAAATATTTTTTCTCTGTTATACTATTAGAAAATAGTGGCATTTAAGGCAGATCATTATAACCTGTCTTTATTACTGTGTTGAGGCGGAAACAAACATTTCCTGAAACCCTCTCCTGCCTAACCTGTTTGCTAATTGCCAGATACTACAGTAGGCTCTGCCTTCCTTGTAACAAGGCATTAGGAGTATTCATGTTACAAATGATCACACTGAAAATCCAAGGTGTTAAGTCTGTTTTCAAAGTCACATGGTAATGACAGAGCAGGAATTCAAACTTAGATTCATTTATTTCCAAATTTTTGTCTTTATACATCGTGTTTCCTCACTTTAAAAGGCCAGGCGCAGTAGCTCACAACTGTAATCTCAGCACTTTGGGAGGCCGAGGCGAGAGGATCGTCTAAGCCCAGGGATTCGAGACCAGCCTGGGCAACTTGGCAAGACCTCGTTTCTACAATAAATCAAAAAATTAGTCGAGAGCGACGGTATGTGCCTGTGGTTCCAGCCACTTGGAAGGCTGAGGCAAAAGGATCGCTTGAGCCCAACAGGTCAAGGCTGCCGTAGCCATGAGCCTGCCACTGTACTCCAGCCTAGGTGACAGAGTGAGGCTCTGACTCAAAAAAAAAAAAAAAAAAAAAATAATATATATATATATACACACACATAGTCTAAATTTATAAAAATAAATTATCATTTCAGACCTATAGAAAAGTTGTAATAGTGCAAATAATTCCTGAACAACCTTAACACAAGTACCACAAATGTTGAACATTTATTACTTTTGCTTGATCCTTTGTTCTCTCCATACATATATTTTTTGTTTGTTTTCTGAACTGCTTAAGTTATGAGTTTGAGGCCCCTTTACATCTAAATATTTCCATGTGCATTTAAAAAAAAAGTCTTATATAACCACAGAACATTAATAATGAAACAATCCTATTGTCTAATCCATAAACTTTACTGATTTAGATTATAAACTGTCCTAATATTGTCCTTTTATGGTAAAAGGAAATTCCAAATAATTAAGAATGCAATCAAGTGTGATGTCTCTCTTTACTCTCCTTTAATCAAGAATGGTTTGTATATACTCTTAACTTTTAATGCCTTTAAACGAAAGCCCTATTAATCTACTTAGGTTGTTACTGGTTCCTATACCAGTTAGTGTAGACTTCAGAAAAGATCACAGAGATCTTTTCCTATAATAAATATTTTATTGGAGACATATCAAAAATTCAGACATTTTACCTTTTGTATCCGGATGTATCCAGGATGTTGCGCAATTAATTTTCAAAGGGCAGCCATCAAAAACTTTTGAAAAACATGCTCCCATCTTATTTACAAAGAAAGAAATGTTAACTTGTTTAATTAATTTTACATATTCTTAAAAAATAGCGAAGATCATTATGAAATACTAAACTTACTCTTATTTGATATACTTGTGCAAAACAAAATTCATATGTTGACATAATTTAGCCCCTTCTATCAAGAGAGTCTCACTCATTCTTTTCTTTTGTAATCCACTATTTTAGGGCAAAAATATAAAATTTATCAAAACATCTACGTATCAGTGATATAGTCTAGGATTTTTTTTTTTTTTTGTGTTGGAGTTTCACTCCTTTGTGCAGGCCGGGGTGAAGTGGCACACACGTTGACCTTCTGGGCTCCAGCGATCGTTCCGCCTCAGCCTTTCAAGTAAACCGAAACTATAGATGCACGCTACCATGCTCGGCTATTTTTAAATTTTATTGTAGAGACAAGGTCTCACTAAGTTGCCCGGGCTGGTCTCAAACTCGCAGGCTCAGGCATTCCACTCGCCTCAGTCTCCCAAAGTGCTTGGATTACAGGCTGAGACACCGAGCCTGGCCTTAGGAATCTGAAGATATCACATTTTTAGGACTAACAATTATTAATGTGAAACAATGGATAATTTTACCCAGTAACATTATAGTGATTATAATCACAGTATAGTCATAATAATCATAACAGACAAAATGATTAACATTTATATTATATATTAAATTTTGTTGAATAAAAAAATACAATTTATAAAGTATTCCATTCACACGATAGGTTGAACCACCTCATAGATAAGTTCCATTGAAGGACCAGAAAAAGAAAACTTTAACATAAGTTTTCCTGGTTCCTTTTCATTATATATAGTCTGATGTAAAAATGGCTTCAGGGATAGAAAGATATTTAATGCACATAATGAAAAGAACACATTAAAATTAAATTTAGCTTTGTAGGCTAATTGGAAGACTCAACTGCCAGTATTTATAAAAAGTGGAATACTCTATAAATTCTAACTCACTTAAATTGGGGGACATGATTTGATCCATGGGATATCCAAATGCATCTAATATCTTTGAATTTTCTGATATCCTTATTTTCAGCAGTTCAAGATACTTGATAGTCAATTGCTTCTAAAGACAAAATATTGCAAATAGTTCACATAAAAATATTTCTTACCAGCACTTTTGGGGTGGGTGGGAGGCCATTGATGGCTGGTTTCTGTGGAGAAAAATTTTTTTAATACCGTAAGACCTCTAAGCCTTAAACAAAACAAAACAAACTTTAGCCATTTGGAAAATCAGTTATCTGAACTCCTTAATTAAAGTGACTGTGCCCTTTATTTGACAAATACAGTATTAGTTACAACTAACCGCTAAATGCCTTTTTATACCTACAGGGAAGTCTCGCTTGTCCTTTTTTCGTGGTAATTGTGGTGCTTGTGCTGATCCTTCTGTATTTTCACTCATCAGTTTTGAAATCCCATCACCATTTCCTAAGGAGAATTATGGTTAAATGGTGAATGACGATACAAATAATTACTTTCTTTGAAAAAATGTTTCCCTTTCCCCTCCATTACTTGTCTCCCACTTGGGTGATCCTTTTCTGGAACTATTCTCTACAATAAGGTGAATTAATGTATCTTTGGTGTCTTTCTCTAGATCCTGTACAGGTTGTACTGTATAATTAGTCGTGGTCTCAATCCATGAAAACAATTGTTTTTCCATACTATGAGGATAAACAAAATCTCCCCTACTGATGTGGACATGCAAAGCCTTTCATAACTGAACTCCAGTCTACCTTTCAGTTCTATCTTCCTTTAAAAACTCACACTTCTAGCCGGGCTCAGTGGCTCAGCCTGTAATCCCACACTTTGGGAGGCTGAGGTGACTGGATTGCCTGAGCCCGCAGGTTGGAGACCCACCTGGGCAACTTGGTGAGACCTCATCTCTACATAAATCAAAAATTAGCCGGGCGTGGTAGCGCGCGCCTGTAGTTCCAGCTCTCGGAAGGCTGAAGCGGAAGGATCGTTGGAGCCCAGCAGGTCGAGGTAGCGGTGACTGGGAGTAGCCACTGCACTCCAGTCTGGGCGACAGAGTGAGACTCCAACTCAAAAAAAAAAACAAAAACCTCACACTTCTACCATAACAAAATATACTTAAAACACAATTTGAATTTTCCTGCTTCAGTATATTTGTTCATTCTTATTTTCTAAAAATGCCTGTCAGCATTGGCTCCACCTACTGAAGACTCACCAAGTCCCCTAAGTCCTACAGGAGCCCAACTCTTCTATTCCCTATCCTTTGTCCCTCAGAAATCTCTGGTTTTCTATTACACACAATTATTTTAGGAGACACTTATACAAGCTATCTTTCCTAATGTTATATGTATATGGGTATAACTTTTGCTATAAACTTTGAATTCTGAAGAGCAGGACCATCCATTCATCCTCCTATATTCTATTTTAAATATTTAATAAGGGATCAAATTAGGGTTAAAGTGAACTGAATCTATAGCCCATCCATGTGAGATTAAAGAATCTTTACAAAGCTTTGAACTATAGGACTAAGAAAAGGACAGTCTTTAGGAACAAAATGGCTTTCTTTTCAGTTTTCACTTTGATTTATTACCCAGATCACAGAATCTAGCTGTATGTACTCCACGGCTGCTGATATTGCTAGCCATACCAATAGAGGAAGTTTCTGCTACAGGACCACAACTTGGGCTACTCTGTCTTCTGATAACTTGGGGAGCTCTGTTCTCTGAATCAGGGCAACGTTTTATGGTTGATGCTTTTTCTTCATCTGGAAAGTTGTCTTCAGGGTGGCTGTTTATCCTTGGCTAGTGGGTACAAAGACAAAAAAGTACTTTAACACTAGTTTTTTCTGGATGAAAACACTAGTTATCATTAGGCATCAAAGACTCTAGAGAGAGGGGAAAAACTTTTTCTCTGTTTTATTCCATTCACTGAACTAAGTAAGCAAAGTAAGTAATAATAGAGTTACTGTCCCAACACAGCTATGAATTCTTCATGTGATTTTTTATCAACCATAACCCCAAACTAATACAATTTTAGAATATTATATAAACGATCCACAAAATAATAACTAGAAACAAACAAGGAAAATGACGCAATGAAGCATGACTCCACTAAGATGTCAAACTGTAGTATCAATAGTGAACTCTTTACCTTCCCTCCGTGTAGTCAACAGTTTCTCAAATGAGCAATAACCTATTTTGCCTTTTCCTAATAGCTATTTAAAATACCACATTTCGGCCGGGCTTGGTGGCTCAGCCTGTAATCGCAGCACTTTGGGAGGCTGAGGTGAGTGGATTGCCTGAGCCCACGGGTTTGAGACCCACCTGGGCAACTTGGCGAGACCTCATCTCTACAATAAATCAAAAATTAGCCGGGCGTGGTAGTGCGCGCCTGTAGTTCCAGCTACTTGGAAGGTTGAGGCAGAAGGATCGCCAGAGCCCAGCAGGTCGAGGCTGCGGTGGCCGGAAGTGGCCACTGCACTCCAGTCTGGGTGACAGAGTGAGACTCCAACTCAAAACAAAAACAAACCACATTTCTCATGAAATCTTATTTACTATATATTTTATATCTTCATATGCCCCTCTTAAAGAAAACTGTATTCCTTTAAAACATATTTAAGTGATTTTGAACTCAAAATTATTTTAAAAATTTAATTATGTTTATAATTTAAACGAGTATTTACATTTCAAAATCTTTAAGTAGCTTACCTTAGGAGGTAGCGGAGGTGGTATTGCACGTTTTGCGGTTGATCTAATACAAAGAGAAAAAAGCAATTTAGATGGTGATATATGACACATAATCGAAAACAAAGAAAGACCGTAAAATACGTATTAAAATCAGTTTATATACAGAGGCTATAAAAGACAAATAGCTTGGGCAATTCCTTTGGGTCTCCTCTCAATAAATCCTGCTTCCTCACTAGAAAAAAAAAAAAGGACAAATGGGTCATGATGCGGACCTAAGACCTTGCACATATTTTCAAACTGTACTGGTATGACTATAAAATAGAGATTTTATAAAGTGGATACAAAGGCTTTTTTACTTTATGGCCATGTTTTGCTATATTTAATATGTAACAACAACTAAATTAAATTTCCTAATGGATTCATATTTTTAGAGTTGGAATCCACAGATTCAAGCAACTTTGTCATTAAACCCTTTGCTACACTGGCATCACCCAGGATCTTTTTATAAATGTAATTGCTATTCTAAGTCTGTGGGCTGTACAAAAAGAGACACGGACCAGCTCTGGCCCTCAGGTCACCCTTTGCCAACCTCAGGTCCATAGCCTAAATAGGGGATCCAGGAATTTGTATTTCCAAAGAGCTCTCCAGGACACTGCAGGCACAAAGAGGTTAGAAAAAATTATCTAGGGCAGCCCCTAACTTCACTGCTTTTTGTTTTTTAAGTCAGGGTCTCATTCTATAGCCCAGGCTAAAGTGCAGTGGGATAATCAGGGCTCACTGCAGCCTCAACTTCCTGGGTTCAGGTGTCCTTTGCCTCAGCCTCTTGAGTAGCTGGGAATACAGGCACATGCCACCATGACTGGCGAATTTTTTTATTTTTTTAGAGTTGAGGTCCCACTGTGTTGCCCAGGCTGGTCTCAATCCTGGGTTCAAGCAATTCTCCCACCTCAGCCTTCCAAAGTGCTGGGATGACAGGCGAGAGTCACTGTGCCTGGCCAATTGTTGAGAGAAGACAGGTCTAGAATATGAAGCAACTGCACTGGAAAGATACATGGCTATAGTATTTTTTTCTCCAGGTGCAACTCATCTTTTAATATATTATTACATGTAGTATATTCTGATTAAAAAAAAAAATCCCCAGGCTTGGTGGCTCAACCTGTAATCCTAGCACTTTGGGAGGCTGAGGTGAGTGAATTGCCTGAGCCCGCGGGTTCGAGACCTGCCTGGGCAACTTGGCGAGACCTCATCTCTACAATAAATCAAAAAATCAGCCGGGCGTGGTAGGGTGCACCTGTAATTCCGGCTACTCGGAAGGCTGAGGCGGAAGGATCGCCGGAGCCCAGCAGGTCGAGGCTGCGGTGGCCAGGAGCGGCCCCTGCACTCCAGTCTGGGTGACAGAGTGAGACTCCAACTCAAAAAAAAAGTCAGAAGTTTTACACTAACAAATGGCATAGTGCAACTTTTTTTTTTTTGAGTTGGAGTCTCACTCTGTTGCCCAGGGTGGAGTGCAGTAGCATGCTCATGGCCACTCCAGAATTGACCTACTGGGCTCCAGCAATCCCTCTGCCTCAGCCATCCAAGTAGCCGGAACTACAGGCACATGCCTCCATGCCTGGCTAATTTTCTATTTATTGTAGAGACGAGGTCTCACCAAGTTGCCCGGGCTGGTCTCAAACCTGCAGGCTCAGGCAATCCGCTAGTCTCAGCCTCCCAAAAGGTTGGGATTACAGGCTGTGCCACCAAGCCCAGCCAGTGGAACTTTTTAAAGAGTGAAAATTAAAAGATCAGAATAAATCGTCCCAAGACTATTTTTATGTAAGCAACTAAATTATAATTATTAAATAATTCAAATTTTCAGGGGAAATGGTTCCAATTTTTGTCCATTTAGGAGTATGCTGGCTGTGGGTTTCTTAGAGATGGCTTTTACTATTTTGAGGTATGTTCCCTGTATGCCTAGATGTTCGAGGGTTTTTATCAAGAAGGGGTGTGGGATTTTATCAAAAGCTTTTTCTGCGTCTAATGATATAATCATGTGGTTTTTGTTTTGACATCTGTTGATGTATTTAATTACATTTATGGTTTTACGAATGTTGAACCAGCCTTGCATCCCAGGTATTAAGCCTACTTGGTCATGATGGATGATTTTTGAGATGGGATTAACAGTAGTAAATATCTGTCTGGGGAGACACCTCTTATCAACAAGGGTGCCTGAACAAAGCATATTTGTATACCTAACCCTTAACTGTACCCCACAATATCATAATAAAAAATATTGATTATAAAAAAAATTATTAACTTAGAAAACAACTTACTTGCCAGTGTTCGCACCATCAACAAAAGGATTCCACTGTAATAAAAAGTTAGGGTCTGATGATACTCCCTGTGAAGATAAAAATTATAGATAAAAATGTTAGTTTCTAACAGATATTAACCATTTTATTTGATTCAAGAAAACACAACAGTGTCATGATTATTAATCATCTTGGCATTCAAATAATTTTTTAATCACCAGCTAGATTTGCTAGATTGACATATTTAAACCAGTGATCATGATCAATTATCTGCACTTAAGAAATTCTATACATATATATAGCTTCAAATGTGACGAGCCCCCTCTTTACCAACATGCTAGTATAGTCCAAAGCAAAAGAAAAAAAAAACTTTGTATTATCTGCATCATTACTCTATTAGTACTGAGAACTAAATATCACATTATTAAATTATCATTAATTTATTGGTGCCACTACATTTAGCTATTAGCATGAAAATTGAGGATTTGTTAAACAGCAACATAAAGTGCATGATTTCCAAACATTTAGGATGAAGAGGTCCATTAAGAGAACACAATAACTCTAAAGACTACTCTTTTACTAAAGTTTAAAAATAAAGTAGATAATAAGGTAACTTCTAGGCTGATTCTAAAAATATCTTCTTGACTTATTACTTCTTTTCTTTTAGATAAAGAAGTAATAAGATTTCAAAATAAGAGCAATGGTTAAAAAAGAAGCTATATTAACAAATAAAATACTTTAAAAATAGTAAAGAAATACAGAATGTAGAATTTACTATATGCCTAATAAAATCGACAAGAAAAAAGTCCTGAAAGCTTAAAGCCGAGTCCTCGATTTCATGTATTTAATGGTGTCATGTAAATCCTTCAAAAAACTCAGGTATGTCCAAACAAATGGCTGAAACAGTGTTTTATGTTTCTAACTTTAACATGTGAAAAATACCAAAATTAATGCTTAAAAGAGTATATTACTTTGTTCTCTAATCAAAGTACACTTAAAGTTTTCTCAAATTTTATTGTGAAAATAATTTTTTTAAAAGTCACAATTCTTACCATTTCATCCCGTGCTTCTGTTTCTTTTCTCAGAGGAGGTTCAAATTGTAATTTATCAACTGCAAAATATGTAACAGGTATTGACAAACTCAGTGTCTTAGAGGGTTAATCTCAGAATTATAATAAGAGGCTTGTGTATGGAGTGGGGTGGGGGGAGAGGAAGAAGAGATGACAAAAACCTCTTACTATTATTATCTTAATTTGTTTTTAACTATCAGTACCCCTTTTTCTATGCTTACCAAAATGCAGTAACAAACAAGAATTTTCCTAACAGCTTTTCTAAATTCTTGTTGGAGTCAGAAAATTAAACAGGACTTTTTTTTTTTTATAAAAGACATTAAGAAAAAAATCATTAAAAGTAAATGACTAAGGAAAACCCTTAAGGATTTTCTCAAAATTGAAGACTGTTTTCAGACTAAATTAAGCTACAGCTTCATGGCAGGGATGAACTAAGAAAAATCACCAATAAATTATCTAAAAGAAGAAATGACTTTCGTCAAATGTTATAATGGTGTTCAGGAATGTGATATCATATTTTGCTAAATGTATATGTTATTGGCCTGGTCAGAGTGATCTCAGGATTTTTCTAAATGTTCAAAAAGTAACTTTATATAAAATATTCTTAAACAGGAAAAAGGATGACTTATTCATAAAGTACACAGAATTCTAAAATCTAATGTGACTAAAAGGCTAAAACATTTTTTCTAAATATTCATACTTGTATCATAGAGATGCAAAATTCCTAAATACAACCTTAGCAAACAAATTACATTTAAAAAGCACTTTCAGCAGGCCTGGCTCGGTGACTCAGACTGTAATCCTAGCACTTTGGGAGGCTGAGGTGAGTGGATTGCCTGAGCCCGCAGGTTCGAGACCCACCCGGGCTACTTGGTGAGACCGCGTCTCTACAATAAATCAAAAAAATTAGCTAGGCATGGTAGTACCCGCCTGTAGTTCTGGCTACTTGGAAAGCTGAGGCGGAACGATTGCCAGAACCCAGCAGGTCAAGGCTGCGGTGGCCGGGAGTGTGCCACTGCACTCCAGTCTGGGTGACAGAGTGAGACTCCAACTCAAAAAAAAAAAAAAAAGTACTTTCAAATAGGATCCGGTTGTCCTTATTCTAAAAATCAAGATCTCTAAAAAACAATACAAGATTAGAAAACACCCCATACAATATACTATTTATTTTACTTATTTATTTATTTTTTTGAGTTGGAGGCTCACTCTGTAGCCCAGGCTGGAGTGCAGTGGCATGCTCATGGCCCCTGTAGCCTTGATCTGCTGGGCTCAGGCGATCCCTCCACCTCAGCCTTTCAAGTAGCTGGAACTACAGGCACACGCCACCATGCCCGGCTAATATTTTGATTTATTGTAGAAATAAGGTCTCATCAAGTTGCCCAGGCTGGCCTCCTGAACTCAGGCAATCCTCTCACTTTGGCCTCCCAAAGTGCTGGGATTACAGGCTTGAGTCACCGTGCCCAGCTACTATTTACTTTAAAAAATAATCTAAAATAGAAAGCCCTCACTGATAAAGTAGTAAGTAAAGAACTACTACAATAATTCATAAAAAATGACTCTTCTGAGACAGAGAGGAACTAAAGTTTATTTTTATGGTAACTAGAAATACTGGCAAGCAGTTCTAGAGCTGTGTTATAAAAAGGCAATACTATAAAAATAATATAACTTTTTAACAAAAACTATATATATATATAGCAAATTTTATAACCTGAAAACATTCCTAGAGAAAGTAAGTTTCATAAATTTGAATTAAAGACATAACGAAATATGTTACATCCCAATATACCAGGTATCAGTAATGGAAAATAAATTGACATAACTTTATATGTCATATCCTATTTATGATAGGATAAACACCTAAGATGCTTTGTTCAGCATGTAAGAAAAGATATCCTTAAAAAAAAAATTCCTCCTTAATACTTGAAAAGTATTGTAGCCATTACTTACAGCACAGGATGCTAAGCCTCCAATTTTTATTCTGTGTAGTAAGACTGAACTTCCTTTTTTTTTCTTTTTTAAAGAAATTCCTGATAGTACCTTTGAATGTGCCTTTGGTCCATGAAAATATAAGGGTGAGGAGGCCTTCTATTACATATCCTCATTACTCTCCAAAAGATGTTAAGGTTCTGGTCATAAGGGAGTACCAAGAATTAAACTTCTGCTTTAAACAACTACATACATGTAACACAAATATTTATGTGTGTGTATGTGTGTGTGTGTGTATATATATATATAAATTAAAGCAACTGTTTGGGGGCAATGGACCACAGATATTGGGGCTGTGATTAATTAAAGAAGGAAGCCGGGCTCAGTGGCTCAGCCTGTAATCCCGCACCTTTGGGAGGCCGAGGTGAGTGGATTGCTTGAGCCTGCGGGTTCGAGACCCGCCTGGGCAGCGAGACCTCATCTCTACAATAAATCAAAAAATCAGCCAGGCGTGGTAGCGCATGCCTATAATTCCGGCTACTCGGAAGGCTGAGGCGGAAGGATCGCTGGAGCCCAGCAGGCGAGGCTGTGGTGGCCGGGAGCAGCCACTGCACTTCAGTCTGGGCGACCGAGTGAGACTCCAACTCAAAAATAATAAATAAATAAAGAAGGAAAATACATGGTGGTAAGATCCATATTCACCATGTTTGCCTGGGTGATGCCCCAAAATATGGCACAAGAAACTGGAGCCCAAATAGAGACTAATAGCTTCACTGGGTAGAGGAAACAAAGATTGGAATTTGAGGCTGCTTAGGTGGTGGGAATTTGAAGGGCAGAGTACCAGAAATATGGAAAGCTGTATGAAGAAGGGACTCCATAAATATGCAAAGGTGTTTTCTTAAATCTTTGGCTGAATACTAAGAGCAAAGCAAGACAAAGGTATGTAAGAAAACAGCTGAGTACTCTGAGCTTCTGGAAATCCCATAGTACCAGGAAGGTATCTGGGTTTCTGCCAGAGGAAAAGTCTTGCTGAAAACTCTAGTAAAATCTGAAATAAGCCTTGAAATAAAGGTGACCTAGGAGGTCTACTTTCTTTAACTCTTTAAAGAGAGGACAACACTCTTTAAAGAAAAAGGATGAAATCCAGATGCTCAGTACTGTATCACATTGTCTAAATAGAAAACACAAGAAATTGGAACCATAACTAGTTGAGAAAAAGTTAATAGAAACAGACCCAGAGATGACACAGATGTTGAAATCAGCAGACAAGGGTTTTAAAACAACTATTATAAATATGTTCAAGAATTTAAGAGAAAAGATGGACACAATGAGTAGATGAAATATCTCAATAGAGAAACAGAAAGTATATGCATATACTGTGTGTGTGTGTGTGTGTGTGTGTGTGTATGTGTGTGTGTGTGTGTGTGTGTGTGTGTGTGTGTGTGTGTATGACATACATGACTGAAAGTCTGGATCCAAAAGACACCATGACTGGAATAAAATTCATGGAATGACATTAACAGCAAACTGACCACTATAGAAAAAAAGATTAGTGAACTTGAAGTCAGGGCAACAGAAATGGAACTAAAGTACAGAGAATTAAAACAACCTTATGTGTGGATATGGGAGGCAGGGAGGGAGGACAAAGCCTCAGTGACCTGTGAACAACAATAAATGGTCTAATATACAACTGTAGCCCCAGAATCAGAGGAGAGACACTGGGGAAGAAATTTTAAAGAAATGGTGTCCAAACATTTTTCTAAATTTAATTTAACAACATCAGCTCACAGATCTAAGAAGCACAATGAATCCAAGATAGAACAAACACAAAGAAAACTACATCTAGACACATCACAAATTGCTAAAAAGCAAAACAAAACTCTCAAAAGTTTCACACTGTAGTACTTCAGATTTTGTTTTAAAAATTTTGAGTTAATATCATGGATTGTAATCTGCAGCTTAAAAAATACTGATGTAGAGGGACATATGGATATGTTATATGTCACAAAATTTTTCAATAATTTTTCTCTCAACAAAGACTTTTATTTGATAATTATATATCTATTTGTGGGATGAATATTTTTTCAGAAAGCTTCAACTATAGCAATGGCAAAAAAAATTTTTTTTTGCTTGAGTTTGTGCTTCTTACCTTAGAAATCTCTAATTACCTCTCTAGAGAAAAAAAAAGTCACTTCCCTGGAACTGTTACTAAGGAGATCTGTAAGAAAATATAGTCCAGGCATGGTAGTTCACACCTGTAATCCCAGCACTTCAGGAGGCTGAGGCAAGAGGATTACCTGAGCCCAGGGGTTCAAAACCAGCCCAGGCAACTTGGCGAAACCTCGTCTCTACCATAAATCAAAAACTTAGCTGGGCATGGTGGCGTGTGCCTGTGGTTCCAACTACTTGGAAGGCAGAGGCAGAAGGATGGCCTGAGCCCAGCAGGTCAAGGCTGCAGTAGCCACAAGCATGCCACTGCACTCCAACCTGGGTGGTAGAGTGAGGCTCTGACTCAAAAAAGAAAAAAAAAAATACGGATGATTCCTGACTTACAATAGCTCGGCTTATGATTTTTCAACTTTAAGATGGCTCAAAAGTGATTTGCATTCAGTAGAAACTGCACTTTGAATTTAAATATTTTAATATCATATGACACGCTTCTGATGCTGGACAGTAGCAGCAAGCTGCAGTTCCCAGTAAGCCATGATAATGGTAAGTATTTTGGGCAAGTTTAAGCTGGCTGGGCTAAGTTATGATGTTTAGTAGGTCAGGTACGTTAAATGCATTTTTGACTTATATTTTCCATCCCACCCCAAGTCCAAGAGCATCTGTACATCTTAGTCAAAGCCCCTTTGTCTTTATTACCCTTAGACTCCAAGTAAGATAAAAAGGACAAATGGAATTTTCAAAATGAAGTTGGGTAAACTTTTCAGAAATTCTTAGACCTTCTCAAAAGTGTTTTTGTTTTTTCCTTCGCCTAAATGACAGTGAGGTCAATTCCCCTGGAGCCCATTAACTCTCTCAATAAATCATAAATTGAGCATCCTATATATCTGGGCATACTGCCCCCAACTCAAGTTACTACAATTATTACAGGCTAACTGCTGAAACTCATATAGTACACATGGTTTTCTATTCAAAAAGGTTCAAGAAGCAGTTCCTCTGCTTCTAAACTTTACAAGATTTAAAATCCAGAGACTGTTTTCTGGAAAAATGTCCTCTAACCTTAATTAACAGACTCTTGCAAGGGACTGTTACTAATACAATGGTAAAACAGCATGTTAACCCCTATAATTATGTCTCTCAATTCTAGAGACATGCCAATCTTAAATTACTGGAAGGTTGACCCAGGAGGACACCTCTGTTAGAGGTGACAAGGAATTCTTCAGTAGCAGATGACTACAAAAAGAAGACAGTTTCCAACCTATCAGTTGGCCCAAGCTGGTAACTACACGAAGTGGAACATTCATGCAAGATCCCTGGAACAAGGTGACTAGAGCCACTGGCTGTCTCACTTTCACCTGCATATAGTACACTCTACTAAAGTACTATAGTTTTACTACAGTACTTTATTTTCTTAGCCACATTTTTTCCCTCTCTTTGCCAACTGAAGGTTTTGGATTATTGACAGAAGCTTGTTAACACTGAATTATGATACCTGTAGAGTCCCTAGTCTTAATATTGCTCTTAGCAGCCTTAGTCAGTACGGAGTATGAGTCCAATGCTTGGCTGAAAATTATTTCAGAGTCAGCTAAAATCAAACAATTAAACCAACTGCTGGGCTTGTATTCACTCTTTTTGTGAATATTTCCCATCATTGTTTGGTTTCCAAGGAAATTGGACTTCTCTACTAATTGACTTGTCAGATGACAAATTTTAAAAACTAGGTAATTTAGTGAATACTCCCATATCTGGATCAGACTGAGTCAAGAAATTTGCCCTGCCATTCATCATGCTGGAAGGACAGAGACAAATCCAGGTGCAAAGTCATCAAGAAACAATGTTTCTCCCAAAGATATTCTGCACATGTAAAGTCTCATATAAATGACTCCCTGAGTTACACTACTTTCTTCCTGAGAAATCTCACTCTCTAAAAATCATAGACTGTATGTTGTCTTGCTGTATGAAATCATATTTAGAATGAATCATCTCCATTCTTACCTGGAAGATCTAAGTCATTAACACAGAAAAACAGACTCAATTCCCAACCCAGATGCAGAGCTCCAAATAAAGACATTTCTGCACACAATACTTCAAGTTCCTAAGGGAAACAAATCCCCAGGTCTACTTCTACAGCATAGATCTGATGTTCATCCTTTCATATACATCCTTTCTTTGCTTTAATTTAAAATTTTGAATCACTTAAATTCCACCTGAACTGCACCCTTTCCAAAATCCTATACTTATTTTCCTTTGATGAGATGCTAAACAGCTCTTCTTGTGTGTGTTCTTCATTGCAAGGAGGCAAGAAACCTGACTTTGCTGGACTATACATTTGTCACTGGTGGTCTTAAACTGATTGGAACAGGTAAAAAACCCATAGTAAGAATGCTTACAGTACACATTATAGCCAAAAACTAGAAACAAATCAAATGCTCATCAACAAAAGAATGAATTGACTGTGGTATAATCATGCACTTAAATATTATACTACAATGAACATAGTGAACTGTTGCTGGACATGATACAAACAACACAAAGACATAATGTTGAGCAAAAGAAACCAGGCACAAAAGGGTGCATACTGCATGAGCCCATTTACCTGATGATCAAGATTGAGTAAAAACTAGTCTTTGTGTTAGAGATCAGAACAATGATTAGCCTGGGCAAAGGGAGGGCAGGGGAGTATAGAACGAAAGGGGTATTGATTGTAAAGACACATGAGGTAGCCTTCTGCAATTCTGATAATGTTCTATACTCATATTTTTAGCTGGGTGGCAATTACATGAGTGTACATATATTTAAAAACTCATTATGCAATAGATTTGGGCATTTTACTGTATGTAAATTGCTAGCTCAATTAAAAAAAACTGAAACAAGAGAACAGAACTAACTAGGTGTGTGTACAAAGTCTATTAAACAAATAAAAGCAAAGTTGTAAAACACCCCTACTAGACACAAGAGAAGACTTGAGAAAATGTAAAGACAAATTATAAATAAAATGACCTTCTACTCTATTACTTTCTGCCTATATTTGCAATACATAGAGCTCACGCTATGAGGATAATAGTACTCTGGACACTCATGAAATAACTAAATCTTGAACTTATCTTGGAAAAAGGCTATTTTGGTTAAGAAAATTGGATATCAGAAAGATGTCAACTCTCCCAAAGTTAATATAAAAGTTAAAGGAGATATCAGTAAAAATACTTAAGGATTTTTTTTCTTAGATAAGCTTATTCTTTTTAAAAAATTTTTAAATTTTTATTTATTTTTTGAGTTGAAGTCTCACTCTGTCGCCCAGACTGGAGTGCAGTGGCAAGCTCCCAGCCACCGCAGCCTTAACCTGCTGGGCTCCGGCGATCCTTCCGCTCAGCCTTCCAAGTAGCTGGAACTACAGGCGCATGTTACCACGCCTGGCTAATTTTTTGATTTATTGTAGAGATGAGGTCTCGCCAAGTTGCCCAGGTGGGTCTCAAACCTGCGGACTCAGGCAATCCACTCACCTTGGCCTCCCAAAGCACGGGATTACAGGTTGAGCTACCGAGCCCACACAGCTTATTCTTTAGTTTATGTAGGAAAGATACAATAGCCAAATATCATAAAAAAGAATAGTAACAAGGTATATATGTATGTATACTGGGGAGGGGCAGGGAGTAGGAGGGTCATTAGTTGTTACAGTTTTAAATAGAAACTATAAAGATTTAATAATCAAAAGTATGTTACTAGTATACAAATAGACATATTCTTGCAACAGAATAAAACATCCAGAAATAGTCCTAAAATATGTATGGCAATTTAGTACATAATACAGATGACATAGCAAATCCATGAGTAGAAATATTAAGCCTTTAATAAACAGTATTGAAACAAATGGATAGTTGTCTAGAAAGAAAAAGAAGTTGACTCCATATGTCATACCTTCCACCAATACCTAATACCTAAGATTCAAATATTTTTTTAAAATGAAACTGTAAAAATACACTACACACTAGGAAATTTTGTAACTTTGGAATCAAGAAAACCTTGCTAAATATGACACAAAACCCAAAAGCTATACAAGAAAAGATAAACTAGACTGCATTAATGAAATACTATACAGCTGTATAAAATAAAGAATATAACTTCATAATGGAATATCAACTTTGCCACTTTTCTGTCTGGTATTTGAGGTCCAGAGCTCACTTGTATAAGAAGATGACAGCATAAGGAGATATCACCAATCTAGGCACTAACAATGACACTAAATCCTGAATTACTGGCTTGACTATGAAAAGGCCTGACTGAAACAACTGATACAAGAAAGATATTCTAACTTTCTTCTGTGACTTAGATTTCTAGAACTGTATCCAGAAAGCTAGACATATTTGGGTTCAAGAAAAATCAGACATAAATTAATGCTCATCTGCAATAATTCTAATCAGTCCAATTATTTAATAAATTATCTTTCCCTATTACGGTTTACAATTTTATTTGTATTTGGCTAGTTATATATCTTATTTTACTGTAAACTACTTTAAATTACTTGGAACAAGTATGCATTTAAGCCAATAAGTCAATATCTAAAACGTCTTTACAAATCTGTTGTTCTAAATTAATGTGTTTAAAGTGACAAATATTGATAGAAAATTTTCATCTGACAATGATTAATTTATTACATGAAAAAAATCAATTCCCTCATTTAAATATGTTTTAGAAGACTCACCTTTGTGTCAATCTGACTTAAAAAAACTGAAACTAGCCCAAATATGCAATAAGAGAAAACTGACTATAATATATCAAGTAATGAAACAGAAATAGTCTAAGCTGATATATGGAAAATATTTATATTATTAAATGAAATTTTATGTACAGTATAAATTCAGTCATAAAAAATACATATGGAGGTGAGTGGATTGCCTGAGGCTGCAGGTTCGAGACCCGCCTGGGCAGCGAGACAATAAATCAAAAAATCAGCCGGGCATGGTAGCGCGCGCCTGTAGTTCCAGCTACGCGGAAGGCTGAGGCGGAAGGATTGCCGGAGCCCAGCAGGTTGAGGCTGCGGTGGCCGGGAGTGGCCACTGCACTCCAGTCTGGGCGACAGAGTGAGACTCCAACTCAAAAAAAAAAAAAAGGAAAAATGTGAAAGAAATCTGGTAAATATTAACTATGGGCTGCCTTTGGGTGAAGTGACTGTGTGCAATGTTAATTTTCCATATTTTTCTTTTTGTGACTTTTCAGCAATGGGCATGATTATCTCCATAATTAGAAGATGAAAACTATTCAAAAATTACAAACCAAGGGAATTCTATCAACATCAGGAAGGAAACCCCTATTTTAGAAGTATTCTGATATGTTAAAGTATCTATCCTTAATTAGCCTGAGATTTTATTATTACACACACACACACAAATACAAGAACACCCAACTTAACCCTCCAAAACCACCAATGGAAAATGTTTACCAAACACATACAATTTATTTCTGAAGCTGTCCGTTCAGCTCTGGCATTCCTGTTTGTAGATCTAATGGTATGACGAATGATTGCATGGGGCTGTGGACATAAGCATAATATACATACTTGTAAAAATTTCAATGATAAACTTAAAAGGTCAAACTTTCTCTTTTAAATTAAATGATCATTTATTGACAAATGTGACTATCTACAAATAAATAAATTATAGAATAAACACTAAACAAATACAATGAACACTAAAACACTTTAAAAGTATTTTCACTCCTTCCATGTTTATATTGTGTAAAATACTGAGGGAGTCAAAGAAAGACACAAATCTTTTCCTCAAAGAGAGTATAGTCTAGGAAGATAAGACCCACAAATACTTACAAGATTAGAAAATGAGAAGTGCCATTCATTAAGAAGATAAATGGATTACTATTAAAGCCCAGAGGAGGGAGAAATGACTTTGACCTGAAGGGGTATAGTTCTTTATGAAAGTTGAAATCTCATTTGGGGCCTTGAAATACAAGTAGGCACTGGATATGCAGCAATGTGAGAAAAGCATTCTAGACAGCAGAAAGAATATGAACAAAACGATGCAAGAAAGAACAGGAAATTGTGGAGTGTTTATAGGGAACGGGTTGGTTAGCATTTGGCTGCAGCAAACGCAGCAATGATTAGGTGATGAGATGTCAAAGCTGGAAAGACAGACCGGAGGTGAACCAGATCATCAAAGGCTCTGAATGTCAGACTGGGGCTCTCAACTTTATTTTCTTGGCAAAAGCAATTTTTTGGAGACTTTATAGCAAGGAAGTGGCAGCTTTAAGAGTCATCTGATAAGTATGAATGAGAGTACAGAGGGGAGAAATATCAGATACAGGGAGACTGAGTAAGAACTTGGTAGTAAGCCAACAGAGAAGCTCACTACTTCCACCCTCCTGCATAAGCTCCTGCTCTTTTCAGTTATAGGTCTTCAGCTCAACCTCCATTTACCAAACTTGTGATGACTCGCTCTCATTCATGGGTGGCTCTGAAAGTGGCTCACATGTTTTTTTCTGTATTTCCAGACCAACCATCATACCATGGGACTTCAAAACCCAGGAGGGCCGGGCTCAGTCTGTAATCCTGTGCCTTGGGAGGCTGAGGTGAGTGGACTGCCTGAGCCCGCAGGTTCGAGACCCGCCTGGGCAACTTGGTAAGACCTCATCTCTACAATAAATAAAAAATTAGCTGGGCATGGTAGCGCGCGCCTGTAATTCCGGCTACTCGGAAGGCTGAGGCGGAAGGATCGCCGGAGCCCAGAGGTGGAGGTTGTGGTGGCCGGGAGCGGCCACTGCACTCCAGTCTGGGCGACAGAGTGAGACTCCAACTCAAAAACAAAAAAACAAAACAAACAAACAAAAAAACCCCAGGAGGATTCACTGTTCTGGACTTAAGTTTTCTGACCTGATCTCTAAAGACAGTTTCACATACTTCAGTGTACTCTCCACTCCAAAGATCACACCTGGACCTTCATCAGCTCTGATACACAAATTCGCACTACACTATACTCTGAATCTGATCCTTTGCGTTTACTTTCTCACTTCCATTACACTTGTTTAGTGTTGCCAGTGAATATCTAGTCCATTGATCCATTACTTCCTCACTCTTCTTCAGCGTCGCACGTATCTTCACTTTTTGCAATATGCAGTTTATATCTGATAGTTTTAATTTAAAGCAATCTCTTGCCAAAACCCTAATTTCCCTTTACCCTATTGTCTTTCAGTATGTTAGCACAGCATAATGCCAATCCTGGATAAGCTCAACTAGGTACTTTTGTGTTTACATTTGGGGCATCAAACACTGCTGGACGAAAATTACAGCAGTGCAGAACACACTGAAAATTCATCTCATTGGAGTCCTCAAATTTGCCAACAAACACTTCTCTAGTCATTTAATCCACAACTTCTCCACACTCTTTAAACCTACCAATTTTCCTTTACACTTTCTGATGATCTTGCCACTTATTTCACAGAGAAAACAGAAATCACCAGCTACACCATTCTCTCCTCCCTAATACAAGAAGTGCTATTACCTAAGACTGAGCCCCTCATATTTGAGCCCCTCATATTCTAAATCCCACGTCTCCCTTCTTTCTCATGGACTCTGCCTATCCACCTTGCTTCCTGAATCTTCTATCTACTGGATCACATTCATATACATTTAATCCTGTTCAAGCACCCTCCCCCCAAAAAAAACAATCAGTAAGTACCTTTCCAAATCATTCCCCTCTAGCTACAGCTCTATCCCACTCCTCACAACTTCATTTCATAAACAAATTACTATTCTTATCTTTCAGATCATTCCAAGTCGCTTCCCCTTCTACTACCTAAAAATTGCCCTGTACAAGTCACCAAACACTAAATTCAAAGATTACTTTAACTTCATTTCTAGGAAAACTCTCCTTTCTTCTTTCATTGTTCCTAGTCAATCTCCTTTGCTAGTTGCTCTTTCAACTTGATCCTTAAATTTTGAGACATTTCAGGGCTCAATCCTAGGCTCTCTTTTCATTCTGCATGCTTCCCTTGGGTGATCAAATTTACTCAACTAATCTGTAACCAGTAACTCTCAAATCTGTCTTCTTTCCTTCTTTTCTTTTTTTTTCTTTTTTCTTTTTTATGTTGCCCAGGGCAGTCTAGAACTCTTGGCCTCAAGCAATCCTCCCCAAAGTGCTGGGATTACAGGTGTTAGGCACCAGACCCAGCTCAAATATGTATTTTCAGTCCAAACTTTTCTCCCCAAGCCACAACCACATACCTAGCTCCTTAGTAGACTTCTCCATTTGGAAGTCCTGTGCAACATCTTATTCAGTATAAAACTGAACTCACCTTTCTACCTAAACCTGTTTTTACCCTAATGTATCTATCTCAGTAAATGGTTCTATCTATCTAGCTGCTCAAGTCAAAATCTGGTAGTAATTCTCTTTTTTTTAAACCCCCCACATTCATTTCTTCATACAATCATGAACTATCTCATATAATTCTTAAATAAATCTACTTTCCTCCATCCTCGTTCTACCACCCTAATTTAAACTACCATTATCTCCATCCTGGATAACTACAGTAGTCTTTCAACAGGTTTTCAGATAACCATTCTGAATTCATTGAGATCTTTTTAAAAATGCACATCTTGATTATGTCATTTGCTTATTACCATTTAATGGCTTTTTATATCTCTTAGCCCAAAGTCTAAAATTCTTAACAGTTTGGGACAGCCAATGTCTAGCTCTGAAGATTTATCTTCCATTACTGCCTTCCTTGTTTGCTGCTCTAGCCAGACTGACTTTTCTTTAGTTCCTTCTTTCTTACCATCAGGCATTCCAACATGCTATTTATTATTTTCTCTGCTCAGACTACTTATGTATGCTCTCTTCCTCGAATTCTAATTTATCCTGCAGGTTTCAGTTTAAATGTCACTTCTACAGTGAGGCTTTTCTCTCCCTGTATTTTGCCTCATAGCACCCTGTATTTCCCATTCTGTAACAGTTATCATACTTGGAAATTATTTGTTGATACTTCTGAATTTCCTCAGAAAAATTTCTTTGAGAAAGCAGGGGTAGTGATAGTCTCATACTCCACTGTGCCCCCAACTGCCTGGCACACAGTTTTGCATTTCAAGGTCTGAAAAGTATGGTGATATCATTAAACAAAAATAGAGGATTCAGAAAGTAGAGTGGATTTGGAAAATTCAGCAAAATGGTGTGAGAAATAGAGGTGTTTGATTAATTTCAGAACCAATGGAAGACTAATTGGGGAATCAAGTGATGTCCAATTCTACCATTATGCTAAAATCTTTAAAATATTAATATCTTATTTAAGTTGCAAATAATAATTCAGACAGAAAAAAAATCTTTTTTTTTGAGAGATGCGGTCTCACCATGTTGCCCAGGCTGGTCATGAACCTGTGGGCTCAGGCAATCCTCTCACCTCTGCCTCCCAAAGTGCTGGGACTACAGGCGCTGTAAGCCACCATGCCCAGCTGAAAAAAAATCTATGTATGGTTAGTTTGTTTAATATTTTCACATAAAGTTCATTTAATACTCAATAAAATATTCATTGGGCATTTACTACATGATAGGATTGTGCTATATAACAGGCAATGAGGAAACAAAGATTAGTGTATAAAAACTGTCAAATGATTATTTCTATTAAGTGCATACACAGAAATGATGATGTATTAACTAACAGAGTAAGCTCTGGAGTTTGCCTGGATCTACTTCCTGGTTGCATTACTTATTAGCCTTATGACTGTGGACAAATTGCTTCGATTTTGTGTCTTTTGTTTCCTGATTTGTAAAATAGGGATATAAATTGTGTCTACTATACAGGACTGCTGCCTATCAGATGAGTTAACACAGAAATTATTTGGCCTTTTTAGTTGGCACGCAATGAGTACCCAGCGAGTACTAATGGTTAGTATGACACTTACAAGGAATAATTTAAAATTTAGAGAGAACACAAAATAGAAACTTTCTTTTAATAAATAATGAATAACACAAACTTTAGTTTTATATTCTTGCCAGCAATCAAGGCAGAGATAGAATGGAAATAAAAACTAAAAAGATGAAGGGACAGATTCAGAAAAGCACTGAAGTAAAATGAAATCATAAAAGGAGAGGAAGAGACACAGAGGGAAAGAGACATTGGCTTAAAAAATGTATATATGTATATAGTTGTTATATATATAGACATAAATAGGTACTTGCCAACGAGTAGGAAGTCCTTCATTCCTGATGACAAGTTGTATTGTTATAGATAATAATTTCAAAATAATTCTATAATATTTTCAGAGAGGGCAAGCATAGTTATGAACAGCCCTACATGTGATTATATAAGAAATAATAGTTTTTAAGAAGTATTGGAAAGGATAAAATTCTCCAATGGTATTTCCACTTAATTCTTTAAAATTACTTGTATTCTGTTAATGATCTGCATAATTGAGAAACTACAAAAATGACCAATGGGATGTCTAAGGGAGTCTCTTCTGTGAAAAATAATATGCACAAGCACTGTGGCTAAACTCTTGTTCTCTCAGTCCAAAGCAATGTTCTTAAGACCTTTATTTCCTTGGAAACAGATGTCCTTCATATTTGCCCTGTGGAAAGATCCACCTCTCACTACGAAGCTGAGCTCTAGAGAGAAGGGAAAGCACCTCTGGATTTCTGCAAGGCGACATCTGATTTTAATCTTAGCCATCTCTTAAAAACTTCAGACAAATCAAATTAAGAAAATTAAAAAAGACAGTATTAATCATTAGAAAACTAGGATTAAGGAAAGCATCAACTGGCTAGATTATACATATTATGATACAAGAAAATCGATTGGTAATTATATACAGAGTAAGTTTACACTGTTAATTAATCTCTGTAGCTAAATCTGTTTTAACTAAGTTGAAAGAGTGAATCAGAAAATAAACATTTAAGCAAACATCTATGGTCATATGAAACATTTGTTTTCAAATATTAGGCTGCAGACACTTCCTACCTCAAAGTCGTCATCATCTCCCTCAGTGTAATGTGCATGGTTGTCTGGATTGTTCACCTTGTCCAACAGTTCAACTGCTAGGGCTCGAGAGAGACCTGGCTGCCCAACAAAAGTATGCTACGTAAAAAACAAAACAAAATAAAACTGCATGAGTATGCCAATACATCTTGGCTTATAGAAAATGTTGTCTCCAGTTTTTCATTCAGTAACCAGCAAAGACAAGCATATAGGAATCTACTGACATAAATAAACTGAGGACATCTCAGCAAAAATACTAATCAGAGAATCCATAATTACATATTATATATGATAAAACTTTTAGGGTAAATTTAGAACATGAATAATTTGTAGGGTAAATTTAGAACATGAATAATTTCCTTACATAAACTTATCTAATCTATATTAAGCTGTAAAATTAAAACTTTGGCTATACCAATGACACTCATTATTCACTATACTGAAATGCAAATGGAAATTGTGATATGCGCCATAGTCGCTATAAGAAAAAAAGCAAGTATATTTTACATTTGCATATATTTAATTCTGTAAAATTAGGTTAATGCACAAAGACATATATAATTAAATACTGACATTAGAATAAAGATTTCTTAGGTTATTGTAATCATAGACTTTTTCAAAAATACAAGTATTTTATACACACATAGACACACAAAGCATCCTATAAATCTACATGAAAAGCAATTAATTAATTAATTATTTTTTGAGTAGAAGTCTCACTCTGTCACCCAGACTGGAGAGAAGTTGCTGCTCCCGGTCACTGCAGCCTCGACCTGCTGGGCTCCAGCGATCCTTCCGCCTCAGCCTTCCAAGTAGCTGGAACTACAGGCACGCACTACCATGCCCGGCTGATTTTTGATTTATTGTAGAGATGAGGTCTCACCAAGTTGCCCAGGCAGGTCTCGAACCCGTGGGCTCAGGCAATCCACTCACCTCAGCCTCCCAAAGGCATGGATTACAGGCTGAGCTACCGAGCCCAGCGAAAAGCAATTAATTTAGATGGCACCAACATTTTTAAGAGTTTTCTCCAAGGCAGGGGTCAGCAAACTACAGCCCACGGGCAAAATCTGGCACCATTCCTCTTTTTGTAAATAAAATTTTATTGGGTATTAAAACTTGACTCATTTGTGTATACTGTCTATGGCTGCTTTTGTGCTACAATGGCAGAACTCAGTAGTTGTGACAGACTATATGGCACACAAAGTTGAAAAGATTTACCACCTAGTCCCTTATAGAAAGCTTGCTGACCCCTGCTGTAAGAGATTACTGATATTTTTAAATTAAAAATTTAAATACGTTTGTTCTAGTGATATGTCTAATTACTGCATGACTACAGATAAAAACCCTCTGTAATTTCAATGACTTACAGTCAGAAGTCTTTCAGCAGTTGGTCTTTTTTTGGGGTTTTTGGTTAGTGCTATTTTGACAAAATTATGGAATGTTGATGACCTTCAAATAAAAAGAGACGTACAAAAATATTTCACAACTATTAGTTTTTTGGTGTTACTAAATAAAATTAACTTAGGAGTAGTTAGAAAGTCTAAAACACGTAATTTTTTTCTTAGGCCTTTTAGTTCTATATAAAGCCAAAAACTGAATCCAAAGTACCGTATATTCCTTGGATACATCAGTGTTAGTTTTGTCTCTTAAGTAAAATGTAATTAAGTGACACAACAGTAATATGCAGCCACTAAATATCACACCAACAACTAGAAATGGGTAGACTGTGTCATTTATATGTTTACGTACTTCTTTTCTAGGTACCACTTAGGAGTCAAAATGTCCTTTTCTCATTGCCTGATTTATACAGCATGTAAATATTATACCATACCGATTATTAGATGGCATGGAGGGTAGCATTGGTCATAAAAAAGATTATTTAAATCCTAAAGAGGCTATTAAGGTTCTTAGAAAAGAGGACAAAGAAGGGGGAATGATTATAGCTACTAGAAGGGTTTTCTTGCCACCTGCATTGATGAAATGGGGAAAGGGAGAAGACATAAATTAAAGGCATAACATTTTGATTATTAATAAATGACAAAAAAGGGGTTTCCACCAGTGCCAAGGTTGTACTGAAGGAGAGACTGAACAAAAATGAAAGAAATGAAATAACTTTAGTGGTCAGCAATGACAATAACCAAAGAGCATTCTCTGCAGAGAAATCAAATCACTGTATCACATCTGGTGGCTTGTGACAAGAGACAACACAGAGTCAGACAGTATCTGAGATTGGCAAAGGCTCTCCAACAGTAATAACTGCTCTGGAATCTGACTATGAATTCAGCACTTACAGCTAAGAGTCATTCATCCTGAATAAATATCAGCCATTCTTGCCATAAAGCCCTTTAGTTCCAAATGTCTAGAAACTTAGGGCAGCAGGGAATAGGAAGAAACCAGTGTCAATACAAAGGCTATAATCATAGCTCACTACAGCCTTGAACTCCTGGGCTCAAGTGATCCTCCCTTTTCAGCCTCCCAAGTAGCTGGGACTACAGGTGTGCAATACCACTTACAGCTAATTTTTTGATTCTTAGAGATGGGGTCTCACTAAGTTGCCAAGGCTAGTCTCAAACTCCTGACCTCAAGCAACTCTCCCACCTCAGTCTTCCAAAGTACTGGTACTATAGGCATGAACCACTGGTACTATAGGCCAGCCCTTGTAAATTCCTTTATTTCCACAGTGTGATTTGCCCTTCATTCCTGGCATCCCCAGAATGGCCTGACTCCTAAATAAAACTATGCCTAGAGAGGATACTGAAACATAAAACAGTGATTTACAACTTTTTTGGGGGAGAGGCCACTTAGAATCTGAAATAAGCTATGAATTTTCTCCCCAGAAAACTGGATACACATACAGAATTTGGTGGGGGGGAAGCTCCTGGACCCTCTAGAGATCCATGTAATCTAGACAAAGAATTCTAGAATTTAAGAACTTGGAAACTTATTTACATAACTTCTTTTATTAACGTACATTTAATATGTATGGGAATATATTACCAGAAAAACAATTTTCAACATTTACTATCCTATTGATGACATCTTTATGAACCATAATGATAGGTAAACTGCTTAACTTCGTAAGAGAAAATAGAGATTAGGATGAAAATAAGTTATACACTTTTTGAGTATTATGGAAGGAAGGAAGAGGAAAAATCAACTGCAACTGATTTTAAGTGTCATAGTATCTGGAAACCTTTTCATATTACTTTCTATGAAAATCAATATGGAATTAATGGAAGTAAAGGAATACAGAGAAAAACAGATACATCTTCAAATTCTTAATATATTCATTTAAAATCCTTTCGTCACCACATCTCTTACTTAAGCTGCCAAAAAGATAAGAAAATGAGTTTTATGAGAACACTGATTATAAAGAAACACTAACCAGAAAATAAACCTAGATCCTTCCCATAGCTCTGCGAGTAAACTAGCTGTGTGACTTTGGGCAAACTGCTTAATGCCCCTTTGGGCTTCAATTTCATCATCTGTAAGCTAAACAAACTGAACCTGTGTCCCTTTCAACTGTAAAATGCTATAAAATCATGTATGCTTTAACTCACCATTTTGTTTTGTCCTTTAGTTTTGGAGGCTGAAAATTACTTTTTGACATTAAGAAGAGAGCCCTGAAACAGAAGTTCCAGTTAAAGAACAATATAAAAATACTTTTATTGCTACATCTAACAGTCAAACTGAATATTCTATAATGAATTTATACAAGACTACCACATATACAGGCAATGATGAAAATCGATTGGGGATATGGAAAGTAAATTGTTTATATTTTAGACAGCCTATGAAAAATTTCTCCTTGCTTTAGAGAAGATCTTTAAATTTCCAACATACCCTTATTCACAAAGCAAGCCTACCAAGTTAGAGTTTTATCACCATGCTACCACATATATATAACTGGTATTATATCTTAAGCACATGTCTATATAATTGTATATCATTCTATAATACACAGAGATAATATGCTACTCTAACATGAGGTTGTATGTTTAACCAAAGACTGTCCTCTATGTTTTGGGTGTATAAGCAAATTATATCCACTGATTTTTAAGTATTTCACTTTCCCTTAAGACTTTATTAATAACCATGTAATTGTAAATAGAAATAGTGAAAACACCTCATTGGATGCAGATCAAACATAGGTGGCTGAAGTTCTCCAAGTTCAATTGCTGTTATTCCTACTGCCCAGATATCACAGAGTTGGTTGTAGCCACCATTTTTCTCCACTGCTGCAACTTCTGGGGCCATCCTAGAACAAATCAATGAATATGGCATTTTATTTTTACAAAATGATATAAATTTGTTACCTCTTGGTATAACCACTAGACTTGCTGGAGGGACAGAGACTGAGGGGTGTTCAGTAGGAAAGAAAAAACTTGATTAAGTAAAGACTTAATCAGTCTTACACACACACACACACTTTAAAAATCCATTTTTTTTAAAGAATCAGGGTCTCTCTCTGTTGCCCAGGTTGGAGTGCAATGGCATAATCACAGCTCAATGTAACCTTGAACTCCTAGCCTCAAGCAATCTGGCTGTGCCTCAGCCTCCCAAGAAACTGAGACTACAGGTTTGTGCCACCATGACCAGCTAAATATTTTTATTTTCTGTAGAGATGAGGTCTTTCTAGGTTGCCCAGGTTGCTCCTGAATTCCTAACCTCAGGTGATTCTCTTGCCTTGGTCTCCCAAAGCACTAGAATGATATGAAGATTTTTAAATTTCCAACATGCCCTTATCCACAAAACAAACCTACCAAGTTAGAGGTTTATCACCATGCTGCCACATATATAACTAGTATTATATGTTAAGCACATGCTTATATAATTGTATATCATTCTGTAACACACGGAGATAATATGCTACTCTAACATGAGGATTATTAGCATGAGCTACTATACTTGGCCTAAAATTTTTTTTTTTGAGCTGGAGTCTCACTCTGTTGCCCAGACTGGAGTGAAGTGGCCGCTCCCGGCCACTGCAGCCTCGACCTGCTGGGTTCCGTCGATCCTTCCACCTCAGCCTTCCACGTAGCTGGAACTACAGGCGTGCGCTACCAAGCCCGGCTCATTTTTTGATTTATTGTAGAGATGAGGTCTCGTCTGCCCAGGCGGGTCTCGAACCCGCGGGCTCAGGCAATCCACTCACCTCAGCCTCCCAAAGGCGCAGGATTACAGTCTGAGTCACCGAGCCCGGCTAAGAAGAATCTTGAAGCTGGGTGCAGTGGCTCACGCCTGTAATTCCAGTACTTTGGGAGGCAGAGGCAAGAGGATTGCCTGAGCCCACAGGTTCGAGAACAGCCTGGGCAACTTGGTGAGACCTCGTCTCTACAGAAAAATCAAAAAATTAGCCAGGCATGATGGCACACGCCTGTAGTTCCAGCTCCAAAGGGCAGAGGAGGAAGGATTGCCTGAGCCCAGCAGGTTGAGGCTGCGGTGGCCCTAAGTGTTCCACTGCACTTCAACCTGGGCGACAGAGCTAGACTTTGACTCAAAAAAAAAAAAGAATCTTGAATCTCCTACTCTAAATGTTGATGCTCTAAGGAAAACTTATCTTACTTAAGTTTCTGTACAGGAAAAGAAAAAGAATACCTAAAATCCTCTGAAGGGCAAAGAAAAGTTCTCAAAGGAGGTAAGACTGAAAGAATGAATTAGCAGGGAGCCTGGACATTTTGGTTAGAGGAAACAAGTACAAATTCAGGGAGACAGGGAGAGCTGACAGGACAGTGCCACTCACTGTGTGACCTACAAAATGATATGGGGCCATACACTGCTAGTTACCAGTCTGTGAAAAGTACAGAAAAGGAGATTAAGCATTTACTCTTGACCACATGCATGATTACGTTTAGTAGTCATTTTTATCTTTTTTTTTTTCCAGGTATAAGTTTGGAAGGGACAAGAAATGAACAGATGGTTAGAAAGTGTATGGAAAATAAACCTCAGAAGTAGAAGCTATATTGTGAATGATCTATCAGTTAAACAAGAAAGATTAGACCTCATTGTGAAAATGATGGGAACCCACCGAAAGATTTAATTATGAGGGTGAACTTAGTCTAAAACTCATAGCAGGATAAAGGAGAGTGTACAATGAGGTGAAACCAGTCAGGCAGATGAGTTAGAGTACTACTTCCAAAGTACAAGGGTGGCCAAGCATGCTGGCTCATGCCTGCAGTCCCAACACCCTGAAAGGCTGAGTGAGGCAAGAGAATCGCATGAGCCTGGGAATTTGAGACCAGACTGGGCAGCACAGTGAGGTCTCATCTCCACAAAAAATTAGCTGGGCATGGTGGCACATGCCTGTTGTTCCAGCTACTCAGGCAGCTGAGGTGGAAGGACTATCTGAGCCCAGGAGGAAAAGGCAGTGGTAAGCTGTGATTGTGCCACTGCACTCCAGCCTGGATGATGGAAATGAGACAACAACTCAAAAAAAAGACACTCCTCTAAGTATGAAATGCTTGTGAACACTGAAGTAGAGTTATTACTGAACAATTATTGGAATACAGAAGACAGAAGATCAACTGAGCAGCTGAGTTGGAGTTATATATTTGGGAGTCAGTAGTATCTAGTGATGGCATCTGAAGTTATAAAGTGTAGAAAAGTAGATAATATTGTTCAGGGGAAATATTATTATTATTATTATTTTTTTTGAGTTGGAGTCTCACTCTGTCACCCAGACTGGAGTGCAATGCAGCCTCGACCTGCTGGGCTCCGGCGATCCTTCCGCCTCAGCCTTCCAAGTAGCTGGAACTACAGGCGCATGCTACCACGCCCAGCTAATTTTTGATTTATTGTAGAGATGAGGTCTCGCTTGCCCAGGCGGGTCTCGAACCCATGGGCTCAGGCAATCCACTCATCTCAGCCTCCCAAAGGCGCGGGATTACAGGCTGAGCCACTGAGCCTGGCTGAAATATTACTTTTTTTAACATTTACTAATTTAACATGAACTAACATATTTACAGTGAATACCCACATGGTACAAGTTGCTATTATATGCAGTTAGGTTACAAAAAGTTGTTTTAACACACTGTCTCTCAACTTAGGCATGGTTAAAGATATAATATATGTATACTAAAAGTGCTAACATGTAGATGAACACTGTGTGCACGTGCTAAACACACAATAATGGGTACACGAGTGAGGAGAAAAAGGAGAAAAAGATGGTCCCCATGGAGCAAGATGATTGAAGGAAAGTTTCAGAGTGTAAAGAGGCTGATGGGAAGCCCAGAGAAAGCAAATCAGATGCATCTTCTCTGCCCAAAGGAATCAGTTCGCGGTGACTAACTGGAATGTCTAGCTGACCATCATAGTTATACTTCCTGGCTTAGTAGGAAACTGTGGTTAATCAGTATACCATGGTGCAGAAAGACAGTGTGTGTGTCACTCTTAACAATGGGCAGGATTTACGATAAACACTGCAAGAAGGTATCCTAGGGAGGTAATAAAGTTAAAGTACTAGTATTTCACCTGGCATATTCAGGTATAAAAAATAGACAATTTTGATGAGAAAAGAGTGTTCACATAGAGGACAGTTACTGACAGAGACTGAGGGAGGAAATAGGCATGTGAAACATAGGTAATCTAACTCATCTACATTTTCATTCAACTTTTATTTAATTCATATTTATTAGAGCTTTTTTCTGTAATTAAAAGTGATATGCCCAGGCATGGTGGTTCAAGTCTGTAATCCCAGCACTTTGGGAGGTAGGACCGCTTGAGGCCAGGAGTTCAAGACCAGCCTAGGCAACATAGTGAGAACCTGTCTCTACAAAAAATAAAAAAATTAGCTGAGCAGGTGCCTGTAGTTCCAGCTAGTCAGGAGGCTGAGATGGAAGGAGCACCTGAGCCCAGGAGGCTGAGGCCACAGTGAGCTGTGATCATGCTACTGCACTCCAGCCTGGGTAACAAGAGTGAGACTCTGACTCAAATAAGAAATAATACATATTGACTGAAGAGAATTTGGAATATATTTTAAAATATGAAATAAAAATAAGTTAAGCATGATCAACTTACAACTTCAGATGCCATCATTATATACTACTGACTCCCAAATACATAACCCCAACTCAGCTGCTCAGTTGATCTTCAGTCTTCTATATATTCAACAATTGTTCAATAATAACTCTACTTCAATCTCCACAAGCATTTCAAACTTAGAGCAGTGTCCTTTTATTTATTTTATTTTTTATTTTTTTGAGTTGGAGCCTCACTCTGTCGCCCAGCCTTCCAAGTAGCTGGAACTATAGGCGCGTGCTACCACGCCCAGTTAATTTTTTGATTTATTGTAGAGATGAGGTCTCGCCTGTCCAGGCGGGCCTCGAACCCGCAGGCTCAGGCAATCCACTCACCTTAGCCTCCCAAAGGCGCGGGATTACAGGCTGAGTCACCAAGCCCGGCTCTTTTATTTTTTTTGAGCTGGTGTCACCCACACCCAGAGGGAACCACTGTTTCACATAATTTCATCCATAATTTTTACTTACACATACACCTTTTATAAAATGATATTTTTACTATTACTTTTAATGTTATTTGATTAACAGTATATTATGAGCCTATCTGCTGACATTAATATTTTACAAAATTTTTAATTGACCAAACGTAATAATATCTTTAACTAATTCCTGTTGTGTATTTTCTCTCATTTTTATTATTCAAATATTGTGGTAAAGCTCTTCATATATAAATCTGAATGCGTCTCTAATTACTACAAGTGAAATTACTGAGAATGAAGAACACAAACATTGCTTGAGGTTTTTGAAAAACATTACTGCCAAAGTATGCTTCAAAACTGATCTACCAATTTTAATTTCCACTCCACTATTTAGTATTTTAAGTATTATTCATCATTCCAAATATTTTCCAATTTGATAGGAAAAAAGCCACTATTTAATGTGCATTTTTGTTCATCAAGGGAAACATATTCACATATATGTTGTTAGGCTAGACTAGTAGAGCAGTGGGAGTAAAGAAGGAACAAGGAAATCTGTAAATGGTCGTGATCTACTATTCATATTTTATAACATCTAGTATATATTATTTTAATAATACTCTGCTTCTAATGAGACTTTTTTATAGACATAAGAATTTACATATTAAAGATATTAAATCTAGTTTTGCATATTTTACCCAATATTTCCTGGTTTTTTTTACTTGCCTTTGAGTATTGTTTAAGCATGTCAAACATGTGTGAGCTTTAAATTTTCATGCAATTACATCCACCAACCTCTCCCTTTAAGGTTTTATGTGCAGAAAGGCTTCCTCAACTCTTACAGCAGATAGTTACTGACGTTTCTTTTGGTTTCACTTTTACATTTAACTATTTCCATATATTAATTTTTGGCATCAGGTATGAGGTATGGAGCTACCTTAAATTTGTTTTTAAATAATTATCCAAACACTGTATATGAAATAATTAACGTTTCACACAAACTATAAACATCACCTTTTATAACATTTGACAAATTATTTTACTTACTAAAGTTCATTATGAGGCTTTTCACTTCTATCATTTATCAATAATGAAAACAGAGTTTCAGAAAGATTATTTTGTCAGTAATTAGTAAGATATACCAGGAGTGGAGTGACTGGTGTAGACTAATGGTAGGTAAGATGTAGGAGTTTTAACAACTAGGAAGAGAAGTCCTTAGATTAAAGCAGAAGCAATACCAAAAGAAAGAGTAAGAAAATCACAAGAGGTAATACAAGTCTTTTGACAATTTCATACCTATGAGTCCTCTCAATATAAAAATCCCAGAGACAGTAAAAATTATTAGCACTTTAACATTGGGAACATTGCATGAGTATCAAAGTTCCCTAACCTAACCAGAACTACAACAGTATCAAGGGCGTGTTAAGTCTTCCAACGTTTAATTATCACTTGTATTACCAAGTATCTAGGTTGATCACTAAACCACGAAGAAATGAAAATGCATTAATTTTGTTACAGTAATGTCTTACCAATAAGGGGTACCAATGAAAGATTTTCTTTTTGCAATGGTAGCTGTTATTTTTGCAGCCACACCAAAGTCAGCTGGTGAGGAAAAAACAGAACAGAAAATGTCAGTTTTTTTCACTACAACAACCAACATTCTAAGTTTCATCACCCTTAGGCATGGTATTACTAATAATTCAGATATTAGGAAAATGTACAATTAAATATGCAAATCTTTTTTTGCTGATTCATAACATACTCATAAAAAAAGAATTTACTGGTACTCTAGAACAAAGAAAATGTATTTTATTAAGAACAAAGTTAATAAAATGTTTTTATTACAAGGACACTAAAGTTAATCTTTTTAAAAAAAAAAAGCAAAAATAAAACACATGGGGAAAACATACACCTGGATTCCTTTTATCCTAGTACAACAAAGGTTAGCATTTTGGTGCATTTTTAAAGCCTTTTGTCTATGTATAAACTTTTTATTATTGTTGTTGTTAAACATGGCTGTAAGCTACTCAAGAGACTGAGGTGGGAGGATCTCCTGAGGTGGTCAAGAATTGGACACCAGCCTGAGTAACTTAGTGAGACCCTGTCTCTAAAAAAATTAGCTAAGCGCGGTGGCAAGCCTACAGTACCAACTATTAGAAAAGCTGAGGCAAGAGGTTTGTTTAAGCCCAAGAGTTTAAGGATGCAGTGCGCTGTGATTGAAACTCTGTATTCTAGCCTGAGCAACAGAGTAAGACTCTGTCTTTTGAAAAAACTGTTATAAAAAAAAAAAACTGTTGCAAAAAAGGCAAAACAAAAAAACAGGTTGTGAAAACCTAAACAAATACATAGTTCATTTTTGTCACTTAATACAATAGGGAATTTTCTCTTACATATTTATAAATATTAATGAATAAATAGATTTATAACAGTTTAGCAGTTTCTATGGCTAGACCTAAGCTTTGCATTTTTCTACCATAAAAAAATATTCCAATGAATACTTCAGTGAGCATGAATTTTCCATCTTTAGAATTAATTTCCTTAAGGTGAGTCTCAGAAGTAAAATTACTGGGTCAAAAGATAAACATTATTGTGATTTTTTATATGAGTATTAAAATTGTATGCTGTTTATTAATATTCTTTGAAAAAAGTTTTAGGAATTTTAAATAACATACCTAATTTTACATCACCATGGTCAGTCAATAAAATATTAGCACCCTAAAACAAAAATACAAATATTATTTAATTAGCATCATAAAATTTCTTCCAATAGAATTGGTAATTTAAATATATTAAATGAACTTACTTTGATATCTCTATGCATTTTGCCTTTAGTATGTAAATAGGCAAGACCCTGAAGATGTAAAAAAACAAAAAAAAAGTAAGCATTAGCAAAACAACAAACTTGACTCCTAATTTTCCTACTTAAATTCTTACTGAATCAGAATGACTAGAATTTTTCTCTTGGGGTGGAACCTAGATGAGTTTCTTTTTAGTAATCAATGTTTACTATAACTTAAAGATTTCTAATTCATTTTCTGGCAAAAATCAGAAATACATTACTAAAACATCACCTCAAGATAATAAACACACCCATCATTCCCCAGAGTTTCCTTATGTTGTGCTCCTTTGTAATTCCTCCCTTTTTTCCTCTCCTGCCCTTGGCAAATAGTGATCTGCTTTCTGTCAATATAGATCACGTTTTCAAAGCTGTTTGACTGCTCTAGGTGTCTTACATTTCCATAAGAATTTTAGAACCAACTTGGCAATTTCTTAAGTTTAAAAAAAAAAGCCTCCTTAAATTGTTATTGGGTTGGCACTGAATCTAAAAGTCAAACTGGGTAGAGTGAACATCTTAACAGTATTACATCTTCTGATCCATGAATGTGATACAGTTCTTCATTTACTTAGGTCTTTAATTTTTCTCAGCAGTTTTGTTGTTTTAGTTTGCAGGTGGTTCATGCTTCTTTTGTTACATTTATCCCTAAAAATGTCATATTCTTTGTTATTACAAGTAGTATTCTTTTAATTTCTGATTATCTGCCACCAATATATAGAAATCCAATTGATTTTTGCATATTGATCTTGAATCTTTCTAGTCTCCCTTACTAGGTCTAGTAGCTATTTTGTAGACTTTATTTCATTTTCTACATAGATGACTATGTGGTCTGTAATTAAAGACAGTTTTACTTTCTATTTCCAATCCTAATCCAATGTTGAAATGAAGTAGAAAAGCAGATATCTTTGTCCTGTTTGATCTTGGGAGAAAAACAGCCAGTCCTTTACTAATAAGTTTAATTCAGCTGCAGCTTTTTCACAGGTGCCCCTTGTCAGCATGACCAAGTTCCTGTCTATTCGTAGTGTGCTCAGAATTTTAACCAAAAATGAATGTTGGATTTTGCCGAATGCCCTGTGTCTATTTTGATGATCATATGATTTTTCTTTTTCAGTTTGTTAATATGGCCAATTACTTGAAGTGATTTGTGGATACTAAACCAACACTGCATTCTAGGATAAACTATACTTGTTTATTATGTACTTTTAAATATATTGTTGGATTACCTTTGCTAAACCTTTTATTTTTCTTTTACATTTTTGTACTTATGTTTATGAAGGACATTAGACTGCAGCCTTTGTTCTTGTGTAATACTGCTGTCAGATTTTAGTATTGAAAGAATGCTGACAAAATGATTTCGCCTTCCCTGCTTTTCAATTTTCTAGAAAAGTGTGTAGAATTGGCATTATTTCCTTCTTAAAAGTTTAGTAGAATTTATCCTCTATCACCATCTGGCATGGAGTTTCCTTTGAGCATCATGTATGATTCCCTTGAACATTTCTTGTAGGATGGATCAATTGGTGATTACTTCTTTCAGCTTTCATAAGTCTGAAAAACCCCTGCCGGGCTCGGTGGCTGAGCCTGTAATCTCGCGCCTTGGGAGGCTGAGGTGAGTGGAATGCCTGGGCCTGTGGGTTCGAGACACGCCTGGACAACTTGGTGAGACCTCATCTCTACAATAAATCAAAAAATTAGCAGGGTGTGGTAGTACACGCCTGTAGTTCCAACTACTTGGAAGGCTGAGGCGGAAGGATCGCCAGAACCCAGCAGGTCAAGGCTGTGGTGGCCGGGAGCGGCCACTGCACTCCAGTCTGGGAGACAGAGTGAGACTCCAACTCAAAAAAAAAAAAAAAAGAAAAACTCCTTATTTTGTCTTTGCTTTTGAAAAATATTTCTTTAGGTATAGAAATCTAGATTGACAATTTCTTTTCAGTACTTTAAAAATGTTTCACTGTTTTCTCACTTGATTGTTTCTAATAAATCACTCTAGTCTTTTTCTTTAGTATATAATAGTCATTTTGTTCTGAGTACTTTTAAGATGTCCTTATTATCAAATGAGCAACTTGATTATAATGTGTCTTTGGGTAGTTTTCATGTTTCTTGTGCTTTGGGTTTACTGAGCATTTTGGATCTGTGGGTTAATAGTTTTCAACAAATTAGGAAATTTTTCAACCCTCTTTTCTCTTTATCTCTGTTTTTTTCTTTGCCCCTTTTTTTCTCTGTCTCCCTTTTATCTCTCATATTTTGTCTTTTTTTTCATTTTTTGTCCCTTCAGGGCACCAATTACATACATATTAGACCAAATTTCCTACAACTTAATGATACTCTATTTTTAATTCATTTTTTCCCCCTCTTTCATTTTGGATATCTTTCATTGCTATGCCGTTGGATTTAAACTATTTCTTTTTTCAATACCTAATCTGCTATTAATCCCGTTCTTTGTTGAACCAGACACTGTGGTTTTCAACTCTAGAAGTTTGATTTGAGCCTTTTTTAATACCTTCCATATCTCTACTTAACTTGTTAAACATCTCAAATGTAATTATAATGACTGTTTGATGTTCTTATCTGCCAATTCTAGCAACTCTGTTAGTTGTGGGCTGGCTTTATTGATTTGCTTTTTACCATGCTTCTCTGCATTTTTGGTAATCTTTGAGAATATGCCAGACATTGTGAATTTACTTTATTGGGTGCTAAATATTTTTGGATTCTTACAAATACTCCCATACACTGAAGTACTTTCCAATACTCTATACTGAATACTCTATCTGGCTTGGTCTCCCTAAACCCCACCTGGGTTCCTTCTCCCTGTACCATAACCTGGAAACTTCCCCTAGGCCATAAGCTCAAACACCACAGGGGTTCCCTTATTTGCTTCCTATCTTTCAGGCCTCACTGTCCTTCATTACCTCAAGCCCAGTTTCTTGAAAATCAGTGTCATTTACTTTGTGTACTTTGCTTTGGGCAGCATGGTTTTACTTCTTGTTACTACATTTTGGCCAAATGTAAAAGTTTGTCAGCATAATAGAATTTTAAAATTGGGACTAATCTTGGAGGTAATTCCTTCCTAAACTTCATCTTATACAGTCATGCTTCACTTAATGATGGGGACACTTTCTGAGAAATGCATCATTAGATGATTTTGCTGTTATGCAAACATCATAGAATGTACTTACACAAACCTAGATGGTATAGCCTACTCTGCACCTAGGCCATATGGTGTACGGCTCCGTGTGCCTAGGCTACAAACATGTACAGCATACTACTGTACTGAATACTGTAGACAATTATAACATAAAGGTATCTGTATGTCTAAACACAGAAAAGGTACGGTAAAAATACAGTACTATAATTTTATGCAACCACTGTTGTATATAAGGCCCGCTGTTGAATGAAATGTTATGCGGTACATGACTGTACTTAGGGAATTAGAACTGAGAAAAGATTAAAGGTCATATACCAGGGCCAGAATGCAAACCCAAGTTTGTTTTTTATCTCTTCCACTCAGCACCCTGTCCATTACTTAGAGAAACTATGAATTCTAGAAATTAAAATATAAATAAAATGAGTTTGTCAGTAATTTTCTGTTATGAGTGTATGATTATGTTTGCATTTTATGTAGACAGTAGATTTCTGTTATGTAAATATTACAGGAATATATACACACCCATATAAACATTAAAGAATTTGCTTTCATCTCACAATAAAATTTGGTAGTGGAATGCCTTTTAAAGCATGTGGAAACAAAATCTTTTCAAACAGATTATAGCTTTCTCCTAGCTCAAGTCAATCTCCCATTTTGTAAATATGTTAAGAACTATATATAGATCATCCATTTCATTTCTAAACCAACTACTCCATCTAGGAAATACAGGGATAGAAGCATCAATTAACAATTATCAGTTGTAAATTAATAAAAAACACAATAAAAACCAAAATAAAAACCACAATCACTACTACTTACTCTCTTCCTAATTTAAGTGCCAGAAAGCCTATGACCAAAATTTTTAATTGCTAATTTTATCAATGAGTAGCCATTCAGGACACTGAATTAATAAGTAAATTGAGAGAAATACTACTTGCTCTATACCCTTATTGAAGATTCATAACCTACTCTGGCATGCTAAAAGCTCTCTCTGAAGCAAAGAAACCTCTGTTTAATACAAGGCTAACCAAACTTATAAAATAGGATTTCCAGATAACACTCCGGGATATTGCTGTGTTAATATATTTCATTTCAGGAGAAAGAGCAAAAGGCCTTATGTTTTGGAGAAGAGATTCCTTTTACTGCCATAAGCTTGAAGGGAAAGCTTACATAACTTATTACAATTGAGAGGTTTTATACAATTGAGGGCCAAGTGCTACAAAGTAGACTACCTTCCATGACCATTGTGTGCATCAGAATCAAAGCACAACTCCATATGATCATTTTATTTGTCGGCATCAGCTTAAATACATTCTTGTGACCCATCCATGGAAGAAATAACTAGTTTCGCAGAAGAATAATAAAAGAGATTAATAGAAAAAAAGCATTTTAGTTTACCCTTTCTCTTTTGGGTAGACCATCATTTTATACCTATCAATTGTTAGACTAGAATTGTTTTTTTAGCTACATAAGCAAATATAGTACCTGTAAAGTTTCTCTGCACACATAGGCTATTTGCAATTCTGATAGTGGTCCAGTAACTGGAAAGAAAAAAGACCACAATGTTACACCTAACAGACTAAAAATGGTATAGTTAAAAAAATGATAAACTGTCATATAACAACTTCTGTATATATTGTTAGATTACTTCTCTTCAGATCACATGCATATATTATTTTTGTAACCAAAAACAAAAACAAAAAAAAGGTAGCAATGAGAATTTTAAAATGCATTTTAAAAATAAAAGCATTTTAAGCCCATAACAACCCTGGTCAATGAAAATAATATGCACTCATTATATAGGCATCACAGGTAGGTATATAGAAAGCAAGGGACATGATCTCAATCTTGAACAATTTTTCAAAAATAAAGAAACTGGAAAAACATATACAATTAAAATTATATAGAGAAATAGAGAATCATAAGGAGATTGCTTGTTGGAATATATTAAAAGGTATCATATATATTTTTTTGAGTTGGAGTCTCACTCTTGTTGCCTAGGCTGGAGTGCAGTGGCATGTTCATGGCCACCACAGCCTCCACCTGCTGGACTTAGGCAATCCTTTCGCCTCAGCCTTCCAAGTAGTACAGATGCAAGCCACCATGTCCGGCTAGTTTTTGTGATTTACTGTAGAGACGAGGTCTCATCATGTTGCCCAGGCTGGTCTCGAACCCGCAGGCTCAGGCAATCCTCTCACCTCAGCCTCCAAAAGTGCTGGGATTACAGGCTGAGCCGCTGTACCCGGCCATCATATACTTTTTTAAAGGTCAGGATATCATTTCTTTACCACATCTATCAAAACAGGGAGGCTTGATCCAGTACCTTATTTAAAATTTTAAAAAGTAGCCAGTAATCAAGTCATTTTTGGCAATCAGATCCCTCCCTAATATAAAATATGAAATTCTTTTTATTCAAGTACACAACCAGAGGCTTTGGAAGTATGCCTTTCAATACCATGAGAGTAAATCTGGGGCGGTGTCTGCTGACAGTGAAACCAAACCAGGTACTTGTGAGTTATTTTCTTAGAGAAATATTTTACTACATATTTTAATCATTAGCTCTTTATATCTATTCAGAAACATACAATTTTGACTCTTAGTAACTTAATGGGATAATAGTAAAACAAAAGTCACTTTATTAGCAGCATCTAATTTATAAGTGTAGATGTTCTTGATTATTATGCTATGTAGTATACTGTTTAAAGGGAGAGGTACTTCTTAGATTCAATTAAATTCAAGAAACATCAGGTTTTAAAAAGAGAAAGTACCAATTTCATTAAGAAATAAAATTAATGTCTCAAAACTATTCTTCAATCTTAAAAGGGAAAGTAGCAAAAATGACAGCTGATAGTTTGATTTTACCTATATATTCTTAAGAGTTCTCTCATTTTGCAAAAATGTTAATGGATAAAATGACAATTATCGCATAAAAACTTTTCATATGTAAGACAGCAATTCTTGGCAGCAGATGGCAGACACTCCTGCTGTGGTCTTGCCCATTGTGCCTTTCATAACGCATCTTTCCTTAATGAAGCTACCTTCCTTCATTCAGAGAACAAAAGATAGTAATTCTTTATAAAATCGAAGAAATTTAAAAACCAGCGGCATATAGAGTTTTAAATACATAGGCATAAGAGATAGACTTAACCACAATAATTTGTGAATTTGATCAGAGTTTTGACATTAGTCAGAACTTTTTCCGGTAAGGGTTATTTGTTATGATAAAATTAGATTATTATTTTTAAATTGGTAATTGAGTACTATATTAATATATTTGTATTATAATTCAGAATTTTACTTCTGAACCTTGCTTTCCCTTACCTCTGGCAATTAACTTATCAATTTGGTATGTATTCTTTCATTTTGCTATGTATTTACATTATGTATACTTATAAAAATATAATTAAAAAATATTTTAAAAATATAATTTTTAAAATTCTACGTATGATCAATTATGCTATACATATTCTTTCACAATTCATCTTTTCCACTTAAAAACAAACCTTAGGGAGATGTACCTAGGTCAATATATATGAAACTACTTTATTTTTTAAAGTGTTCCAAAGTATTCCACATTACAGGTAAAAGTAGTTAATTTAACCACTACTCTACTGATTGATACTTTCAAACTTTGACCTCTATGAGTTATAAAATAGTGGCACAGCACTTGTTTTTACATCTACTGTGACTACATTTGTAAACTGCATGAGGAGATTTAATAAGGCTTCCAGTGTAACAATTTCAGCATAGAAATGTTAAAAAATATTTCACATAATTCTTAATAAATTATACAGCATATATTTGCAATGGGAGTTTTACTATCTTATATCCATGTTAAACACAGAAAAAAGTTATTTTATAAGGATCCATGCTTAGTATGATAAATTCTAGAAGTTCAAGAAATTGTCAGCAACAAAACAAATTGGAGGTCAAACTGTAGAGCCAAAACTAAAACTATTTCTAAATAGTATTACGAAGCAATGTCAAGTTCAACTCGGAAAACGGCCTAAATTAACATAATACTAAATAAAATACTCCAAATAAGAAAAAATTATATTTGTAAATTATATATACATTTAACACAAAAATATTATCATAACAAATAAATTGCTTTTCTGGTTAGCTTATTAAGCTAATAAGTTATTAAGGCTAAGTTATTAAGACAGACACATAATTTCCTTTCTATGAGTTACCCTTTGCATTTTAAATATTTTCAAGGAAGTCTAGGCAGTTTCATCTGTAGACAAAACACTGTCCTAGAGACTACATCTAAAAAGTAAAATTTGGATTGTACAAATACTTCTGCATTTCTCAGGCTCAGGCAAATTTAATTGAATAACCAATAACAAATTAAATTTAGATTTCTTTTATGCAGTACTCCAGGAACAGAGACAAAAGAATATAAAACAGTAAATCCACCTGTTAATCTCCCTAATTAACTGGAAATATCAAACAACAATCATTAAAGGCAAAGTCAGTTTAAAATGTAAAGTCAAATTAACAGTACCATGGTAAATATCTTGAAGTGATCCACCACCACAGTATTCCATACAAATCCATAGTTTTTCCCGACTAATAAGAAAGAGAAAGAAAATTATATTATAATTCCCAAGCACGAACCTTGTCTTAAGACAATTGTCTTCATTACACTAAGGTTCAGAACAGATTGCAGAGTGCAAGAAGAAAGTGCTATGTAATCTCTCTTCAATATATATAAAAGAACATTAATTTCAGCATTGTTCCCACTTTAAATGGTTGTGAATATGATCAGTTTAGAATATGACTGGTTTTATATACACTTACTTGTAATCATTCATAATGCTTCATTAAGGTTGTCAGACAAGGTATAACTATATAGTGCCTTTATTAATATAATGAGGGAAACAAGAAAACTAGAAATTTTAGAACTTTAGACAATGTTTAAAAATATACATATATAACAGCACTCGCATGCAAGGAAGGGAGAGTAGTAACAAAGACTAGCTTTTTTTTCTTTTACCTGAGATAACTCCCAAAGTAGGCAACGATATTGCAATGTTTACATTCTTTAACCATAAATATTTCTTGTTGAATCAAAGAAAAATCATCTCCTGGAAAACAAAATAAGTTGGTCACCATGTTACTCAAAATCTCTACATATGAAAAGAAGGAAAACTTTACAATAAATATTAGAGATGAGGAATTAAGTATTCTCAATATTTCAATGAGAATATAAACTGGTAGATTCTTTCCATAAAGCCAGAAGTCTTAAAAAGGCACAAAATCTTGGAATCCACAATTTCATGTTGAAATTTTTCTTCCTAGATGTTCACTACGGTATGGTTTAGTAATAGTTTAATAAGGAAAGGATGGTTAAGTAAATTATGGTGCAGTTACAAATACTATAATATAGTTAAAATATATTTTGATGTGAAAATGTTTATGATATATTAGGTGAAAAAGAACTTTATATACTATTTTAGTACTTATGCATATAGAAAAAGTGTTTCAAAAGTAATTTTGTTTTCTTCTTTTTTGATCTATATTTTCCAATTTGTCTATCACAAACTCATTTGAGTTAATTGGAAAATTATGTTAAAATAAAATATTGGTTATTTACAAGAATTTTATGGTTACTATAGGAACACTTCCTAGAATGGTACTGTCATCATCAAACTCCATTTTACGTGAAAATAGTGCTTATTTAAGGGGATTTATGAATTGATAAAATGATTGCATGTATATTATGTAAGGGTAGTACAATACAGAAATTAATAGCTTGAGTTCTAAATTGGACACTCCTGGATTCAAATCCTGGTTCAGACATTCACCAGATTTTGAGCAACTTAACCCTTCTGAGCCACAATTTCATTGTTAAGTAGCATCTGGATTCATTCAATCTATTTGGCTTCCTTATCTTCTATTTAGCTTCACTTTTCCAAATATTCCCTGCATTTTAAGAATATCAAGTTGCTGGTCATTATTTAATAGAGTCTTATGATGCCCATGTTTCTGATTACGGAATTCCCTCCATTGGGAATGTTATGAGAAAGAGATCATGTACACAGTGCATTTAGCACGTCTGAAACAGAATAAATTCAATATCAATATTATGTTGGAGACTAAGAAAGATGCAAATAAAAGTGTTCCTTGTTAGGACATATTATACAACATTTTCAATTAGACACTGTTTTATACTGGTCTTTTGAAAAGCAGCTTCAAGCTTAAAATCAGTGTTATCCGTTTATAAACTGGGCATGCACTTGTAGTCCCAGCTACTATGGAGGCTGAGTTGGGAGGATTGTTTGAACCCAGGAGTTTGAGATCAGCCTGGACAACACAGTGAGAACCTGAGTCTCAATTTTAAAAAGTTCAAGCCCGGGCACGGTGGCTCATGCCTATAATTCCAGCACTTTGGGAGGCTGAGGTGAGAGGATTGCCCGAGCCCTTGGGTTTGAGACTAGCCTGGGCAACTTGGCAAGACCTCATCTCTACAATAAATAAAAAAATTAGCCGGGCATGGTGGTGCAAGCCTGTAGTTCCAGCTACTTGGAAGGCTGAGGTGGAAGGATTGCCTGAGCCCAGCAGGTTGAGGCTGTGGTGACCAGGAGTGTGCCACTGCACTTCAGCCTGGGCAACAGAGTTAGACTCCAACTCAAAAAAATAAAAATAAAAATAAATAAATAAATAAATAAGTTCAGCAGTGCCCAGATAAATTCTGACTCTAACTCAAAGTCATCTTAGAAAAATATACAAGGCCAAGAAGAAACAACTCAGAAACTGTCCTTAGATAAATAGACAAAATCTTCATGAGTTAGAGATTTTTTCCCCCCATTTCTATTTTCAACTCTTTCAATTCAGGGTCAAAATAAAGCTTTAAATATTCTTGCCACACGATTCATAGCTCTTAAAGAACCAGTTATTAGTGACATGGTTTAAACATATACTTAGTTTAACTGTTAATATACTAAATTTATTTATAATCATTAGAACTTTTCTCAATAGTCACTTGATGTAAACATTAACTGATAATTCATTTATAGTATCTCATGTTAACAATTTTAAAGGGTTGGGTAAGTCAAATGAGAGTATAATCTTCTAACTGAATAAAAGTCTGAGTAAAGATCTTCAAAGAATACCTAGCTTTTATTTGTAAACTGGGAAAAAATGTATGACACAAATAGCTACATATACCTTAAACATATATGCACAATGGCAACTTGTTACAATTTAAAATTTATTTCTTAATGGTCTATCAATGAAAGAGGACCAAAAGAGAGAATCCAAAGTAGAAGATGATCTCATGGTCCTCACACCAATTTAGGCAGAAGCAGTGAGTAAGCCCTGAAGGTTACAGTAAAAAGTCTGCCCACCTAGGGTTGAGGAAAGGCACTGCTCTCTGTGTCCACTCACAAGCACCAAAAAACTCTTCTTCCTTTTAAATCACTCCTCCATCTGAGCCTCTTTCAGTATAGAATAGAAACTTACCCTTCACACATGCTAATTTCCATCTAACTGGCTAAATTCTAGACCATCTTTCATTTTTTATTATATATGAATTTTAAAGGAAAGAAGAGTAAAGAAGCACCTAACTTTGTTAAAATATGCTATTCTTTGGATTCCCACCTACTCACTTTTAAATGTGCACATAAGTCTTATATCTGAGCTGTGCTGAAAAATTCTTCAGTTAAGTCTGAGATTTAGAACAGATTTTTTCAGAGGAGTAACTTCACATATGGAGCCTAACTTCTTAATGGTGTCTAAGTTCTTAAACTGACCTGTAAAAGTCAATAATGTGGCTGAATTAATACTACTCGTAACAAATCACTACTTTTGGGGGGAAAAATTAGCTCTCAGTTTCACCCAACAACTATGCTCCCAGAAGCTACCTGAAGTTTCTACGAGGAAAAGTGGTATCTTGATGAAAGTGAGCAACAGTTTTTTTTTTTGCTTTTTTTTTTGAGTTGGAGTCTCACTCCATCGCCCAGGCTGGAGTGCAGTGCCACACTCATGGCCACCCCAGTGTCGATCTGCCGGGCTCTGGCGATCCTTCCGCCTCAGCCTTCCAAGTGGCCAGAACTACAGGCATGCGCTACCACACCCGGCTAATTTTTTAATTTATTGTAGAGATGAGGTCTCACCATGTTGCCCAGGCTAGTCTCGAACCGGCGGGCTCAGGCAATCCTCTCACCTCGGCCTCCCAAAGTGCTGAGATTACAGGCTTGAGCCACTGCGCCCGGCAGAGCAACAGCTTTTTACAGCTTCCTGGAAGCAAGAATTCACAAGTACAGGTTTCACTCAGATGTCTGAACTCCAGTTCTGAGCATAGTCTTCATATATCTGTTTTAAATTTTAATGTAAAAGGGATAGAATCTCCTGTGAACTGAAATCGCACCATGGAACAAACTTACATAAAGACAATATTTTTTGTGGTTCACTCTGAGAGGTAAATAAGCTAAACACAGTTGTCTATCACAGATGCAGCCATTCTTTGATGCTACATTTCACTCTTCATACTCTGGCAATGTGAGGATGAGGCTAACTGAGGATCTCAGAGTCCCATATCTTCAGTTTTAGCCACTACCTATTATTTCCATCTGAATGTCTTATTAGCACCTTAAATTTAATATGTTCTAAGGCAGGGATTCCCAACCCCCAGGCCGTGGACTGGTACCAATCCGTGGCCTGTTAGGAACCTGGTCGCCCAGCAGGAGGTGAGCAGTCAGTGAGCAGCTGCGGTATTAGACTCTCACAGGAGCGCAAACCCTATTGTGAACTAGGCAAGCGAGGGATCTACGAGGTCATGTGCTCCTTATGAGACTCTAATGCTTGATGACCACCCCCTCCATCACCCTTCCATTCATGGAAAAATTGTCTTCCATGAAACCAGTCCCTGATGCCAAAAAGGTTGAGGAGTGCTGCCCTAAGATACCAATATACCTCTTAAAAACTAATTTATCGTCCTGCCTTTACTGTTTATGTTAGTGACATTTTATTCTAAAGGATTAACAACCTCCATCTTGTCCATAGCCCTCCTAAGAAAACCCACCTCCATCCAGCAGGAGCTACTATATATGCCATGTGACCTTCTTTCTATCTGCTGAAGGCACCAGGGTGAACAAATGACCTGAAAAGAACTAATCCATGGCCTGGCATGGACTAATCATATTTGATCTCTGAAAAATGTGAACCATGGAGAATGAGTCAGTTGTCAGTTACCAGCAGTATCACTTTTTTTTTTTTGAGTCAGAGTCTCACTCACTCTGTCGCCCAGGTTGGAGTGCAGTGACATGCTCACGGTCACCACAGCCTTGAACAGCTGGGCTCTGGTGATCCTTCCACCTCAGCCTTCCAAGTAGCTGGAACCATAGGCGCATGCCACCAAGCTCAGCTAATTTTTGATTTATTGTAGAGACAAGGTCTCACCAAGTTGCCCAGGCTGTTTCGAATCCCTACGCTCAGGCATTACTCTCACCTCTACCTCCCAAAGTACCAGGATTACAGGCATGATTACCATACCTGGCCAGCATCACATTAAAAGTGGAATTTAGAATAAGAGCCCATGATGGGAGAAATTCACTAGAGATGGAACATATAGGTATTTTTTCCCCTCCTCTCTGATAAAAGCAGTTGCCGGTTGTACCAAAGCATTGAGACAGGTGGGAATCGCTGAGGCCAGATGCTTATTAACTCAGGTTCTTTAAGGGACAAGTGTGTGTGCATGTCAGATAAGATCACATCAAATTTAAAAATTTTATTTATAAAAGGACACAATCAACAGTGTGAAAAGGCAACCTATAGAGAACAAATATTTACAAGTCCTATATCTGATAAGAGGTTAATATCCAGGATACATTAAAAAAAAAAAAGATCAGAAACATGTCTATCCCATATAGGCATATAGTATATAGTATACCTATCTTAGAAAAGTCAGCCAATATAGAAAAATATAAACAATGTGAGCTGGGAGCAGTGGTTCACACCTGTAATTCTTACTACTTGGGAGGCTGAGGTGAGAGATCTGCTTGAACCCAGGAGTTCAAGTCCAGCCTGGGCAGCATAGTAAGAAATGTCTCTAAAAAAATTTAACAGAAATTAGCCAGGTGTGGTG